CTTAATATCTCCCTACTACCCTGGCTTAATATCTCCCTACTACCCTGGCTTAATATCTCCCTACTACCCTGGCTTAATATCTCCCTACTACCCTGGCTTAATATCTCCCTCCTACCCTGGCTAAATATCTCCCTCCTACCTTGACTAAATATCTCCCTCCTACCCTGGCTTAATATATCCCTCCTACCCTGGCTTAATATATCCCTCATACCTGACTAAATATCTCCCTCCTACCCTGGCATAATATCTCCCTCCTACCTGACTAAATATCTACCTCCTACCTGACTAAATATCTCCATCCTACCCTGGCTTAATATCTACCTCCTACCCTGGCTTAATATCTCTCTCCTACCTGACTAAATATCTCCCTCCTACCTGACTAAATATCTCCCTCCTACCCTGGCTTAATATCTACCTACTACCCTGGCTTAATATATCCCTCCTACCCTGGCTTAATATATCCCTCCTACCCTGGCTTAATATATCCCTCCTACCCTGGCTTAATATATCCCTCCTACACTGGCTTAATATATCCCTCCTACCCTGGCTTAATATATCCCTCCTACCTGGCTTAATATCTCCCTACTACCCTGTCTAAATATATCCCTCCTACCCTGGCTTAATATCTCCCTCCTACCTTGACTAAATATCTCCCTCCTACCCTGGCTTAATATCTACCTCCTACTCTGGCTTAATATCTCCCTCCTACCCTGGCTTAATGTATCCCTCCTACCCTAGCTTAATATATCCCTCCTACCCTGGCTTAATATATCCCTCCTACCCTGGCTTAATATATCCCTCCTACCCTGGCTTAATATATCACTACTACCCTGGCTTAATATCTCCCTACTACCCTGGCTTAATATCTCCCTACTACCCTGGCTTAATATCTCCCTACTACCCTGGCTTAATATCTCCCTAATACCCTGGCTTAATATCTCCCTAATACCCTGGCTTAATATCTCCCTACTACCCTGGCTTAATATCTCCCTCCTACCTGACTAAGTCTCTGATAGACAATAATCCCACTTGCTCCAACGACCACCCCTGTACCAACAGCAGCTGCAAGAACCAGTTTTTGGTTCCCACTCAAACCAGTTTCTAACATTTTAAACACTTAACAAAATTTTCATTGATTTTGTGATTTATTGATGGGAGCTCTGAAATGTGGAGATAAATTAATAAATAATTTATGAACTATATCTGGTACAACTGGACAAGAAAAAGGCGAGCAAAAGAAAGAGTTAATTAATGAAAATTCATAGAAATTTCTATTTTATCCGGCCTCGGTGTAAAAATACTGATAAAAATATTGGTTATGATCACATTAGGAAGCAATATAGTGTACATACAATCAATCTTTCCGAAACAAATTTATTTCTGAAATAATTTACGACTCAGAAAGAGCAAAGAGCAAGACAGTAGAAAAATATATTGAATGGACTACTGTAAAGAAACAGATTCATCTTAGAATCAAAGTATTTAAATAAATGTACTCATTGTTAGAATATGACACTGACAAATGTGTATACAACCTTTAGTTAACATAATTCATACAGGTTTAATACTACATCCGTTCCGTACTATGCATGAATTCTATACTCATCTCCTGAACTATCTAAAGTTTATTCAGTATTCTCTATATATTTTATAAATCATCTGTACTTTATCTATAAAGTAAACAAAGCTGACAGTTCACAGTTGATACACTACGCCTCTACATCATTTATAAAACATATTGTAGACATAGTATACCAGAGCCCAAAAAAGTAAACAGGGTATCGGCGTGAAACTGAGTGAATGGGTTAAGACAATTTCGTAGATATAATTTTTCTAATTTGAAATATTATTTTATATGGTTTGTTTTGTATTTTCTAATCACTTTATAATTCTTGAATTAGTATCTACATAATTGTTAAGGCCCCCAAATAGGAAATCCGTGGGTTTCATTCAAGTCTCTTAAATTCCCAGGTCTGTACTCACTACTCAACCCTGTGTCCTGTACAATTTATCCTATACTTGTGTATTATCTTTGAGTACATTTCATTAACCTATAAGTTTGAGTAGACCTATGCAATGTAAATAAACATATTTAAATCTGTTTCATCTCTCTTCATATATTTGTTCTCAATCAACCATTCTATCTGTTCCTAGAGACAAAACATTCAACTAAATTTAAAAAGGAATGTGAAACTAATTCAGGGGTGTACGTTTTTTTAAATCATCCCTCCCTCTCCTCCAGTCCCCACTTATGAAAATATATTTTTTTATATAAGTAATTTTGAAGTTATTAAACATTCGACCAGTTCTAAAATAATGTGAGACAAATCCAAAAACGGATTCGCGTTTAAGGGCTTAATATCTCCCTCCTACCCTGGCTTAATATCTCCCTCCTACCCTGGCTTAATATCTACCTCTGATACTCACCTTCACTGCTTTAAGGATCGCATCTAAAGGTATCTCCAATCTGCTCTCTAAACTGTACCTGAAGTATCTCCAATCTGCTCTCTAAACTGAAGTATCTCCAATCTGTTCTCTGAACTGTACCTGAAGTATCTCCAATCTGCTCTCTAAACTGAAGTAGAAGATCANTTCTTGAGTATATCCACTAGTTCAGTCTGAAAATATTTTATTCTTGAGTATATCCACTTTTGTTCAGTCTGAAAATATTATATTCTTGAGTATATCCACAGGTTCAGTCTGAAAATATTATATTCTTGAGTATATCCACTATAGTTCAGTCTGAAAATGATATATTCTGGAGTATATCCACTATAGGTCAGTCTGAAAATATTATATTCTTGAGTATATCCACTATAGTTCAGTCTGAAAATATTATATTCTTGAGTATATCATCTATAGTTCAGTCTGAAAATACTATATTCTTGAGTATATCTACTAGTTCAGTCTGAAAATATTATATTCTTGATTACATCAACAAATTCAGCCTGGTTTTACTGTAAATTCTGATAGATCAAAAATTCATTGTTTGAAAAATCATAGGTGTACACCATCATGTTTCAAATATATAGGGATAAGAATTTCTAGCGAGTGTTACTGTTCAGAACATTTGACTGTAAAAACTATTAGCAAGATTTTGGCAGAAACGCTTTTCTTACTTGTGTAATCATTATCTCTTATTAATTTGAGGTAAATATGTTCTACTTTGGTAGTCAACCTTAAAAGTAACTTCATCATCCTTAAGTTAGATCCACAAGCAAAATGTAAAAATTGACTGTCATTGTAAACAAATCTGATTATGAAATGTTAAAAAGAAACTTGTTCCTCACCTGTAATTGAGCATTCGAACAGCATTTTCGCATCTTGAGAATTTTCCTGATTGCCTCCTAGTAAGTTAAATCCCAATTAAATCACATATCAAATTAAATGCAAACAAAATGAATTAATTTAACCAAACCCAATTTTATAAACCAATATAAAAATCCCTGATCGAATACGATCCCTGAAGAAATACACGAGTTCTATCCTAAGCTGAAGAATATTCGCATTCTGAGTATCCTAGGATACAGAATACCCAAGTTCTGAGTATCCTAAGCTGAAGAATACCCGAGTTCTGAGTCAAAAGCTGAAGAATACCTGAGTTCTGAGTATCCTAAGCTGAAGAATACCCGAGTTCTGAGTATCCTAAACTATAGAATACCTGAGTTCTGAGTATCCTAAACTATGCTGAAGAATACCCGAGTTCTGAGTCAAAAGCTGAAGAATACCTGAGTTCTGAGTATCCTAAGCTGAAGAATACCTGAGTTCTGAGTATCCTAAACTATAGAATACCTGAGTTCTGAGTATCCTAAACTATGGAATACCTGAGTTCTGAGTATCCTAAACTATAGAATACCTGAGTTCTGAGTATCCTAAGCTGAAGAATACCCTCGTTATCTTCCTCTCTCGATTTCTCAGTACTCAGCTGTAAGCGTCCTTAACAAAAATATTATGAATTGAATTGGAACCAGATTTATTGAATAGAAAGAGGTAATTAAACCACTTCTCTCTAACTATAACCGGTAACCAAAGATGTGGTTCAACTATGTCTACCCGGTTCAACTACTTCTCGCTATTAATCTAAAGGTTAAAAAACGTTTCTATTTCAAATTTGTCCAGTTATCGCGCTCGGTCCCCTCTAGTTGTATAATTATATCGTCTAATACAAACTTTACATTCTTTGAACTATTTCTAAAATAACCATTAGTAAATTAGCCGTATATAAAACCAGAATTAAACTTAAATTCTTCAATTCCCAAATGTACACTGTGGACATCGAAGTTATTAATTGTGGCTCACCGCTATCAGAATTAAAAGTTTTAGTCTTGTAGTTCAACTACTAAACATAAAAAAGAAGAATGTAAAGAATTTGCAAAGTTTTCCAACCCGCTTACAAAAATAAGGACCAAATCAAATGACGAACAGTCTACCTTGGTTAGGCGGGTTCAGAATACAGTACATTTTGCCCTCCTCAGCTCTGGGTTGTTTTACTCTTATATGGATGGGTTGATCTCCTTCCTCCCTTTCCTTGCCACTAGTGTTTTTGCTCACCGATGAGATTTATCCGTCCTCTCTTCTGCACCTTCCCGTTCTTGACTAGACCAAAGTGTTGGTTCACCGAGAATAGAGTGTTCTCATTCCACTCAGTATATTTACTACAGGCTGGAGCAAATAATAAAACCTGAATATTTAAAGTTATTTAGTGTATACAGTATACGGTATAAGGTATACATTAATACACTATACAGTATACAGGAGTATACACTATTCTGGACAATATCAACAAGGATTATTCAACTTATAAGAATGGAAAATTAAGGTTTATAAAGTGACTGCTGAATAGTTTTTTGTGTCACTCTCTTAATAGAGTGGTATGCCCGATTCAGGGAATATGAAACCAGAGCCCGAATTTAATTAATTTGAGCCACGTCTCAAATCCGCCAAAAACCGGTTTCAATTGAGCGCCGGCTTAAATCTTGAAACATTGAATACAATTTTAAGTGGAACCAACCACATTTGTCTTTAAATTCGACCTCAGGATCTGGATAAACAAACCAAAATTAAATAGATCCTGAGCACTGCAGAGATCCGCAATTAAAAATTATAAATATAATAAAAAAATAAATTTTTGATCTTACAATTACATGTTAAAAAGGGTATTGTTGTTAATCGGACATAAAAATAGTCTAAAAAATCCCTTTAAGAATTTGTGTTGATTAAAATCAGGATCAGGGACAGAAGTTAAAAACGTTCCTTTGCTCAAGACACTGGATATTTATTTTCTTAATTATTTTAACTATTAAAAATCGAAAATAAAAAAAAAAATTTAGTTTTGACAATTTTACTTTTTTGTTAACCAACCTGTCGTTTCAGTTTGGGGAAGGCAACAAGAGACCACAGAGTTTTTCTTAATTCCAAGTCAGGTAATTCCGTAGCTAATCTAGATAAAACAGGAATTCCGTAGCTAATCTAGATAAAACAGGAATTCCATAGTTAATTAAAATAAAACAGGAACTCCATAACTAATCTAGATAAAACAGGAATTCTGTAGCTAATCTAGATATTTCACGAACAGGAATTCCATAGTTAATTAAGATAAAACAGGAACTCCATAGCTAATCTAGATAAAACATGAATTCTGTAGCTAATCTAGATAAAACGAATTCCGTAGCTAATCTAGATAAATAATGAACAAGAATTCTGTAGCTAATCTAGATATAACAGGAATTCCATAGTTAATCTAGATAAATCATGAACAAGAATTCCGTAGCTACTCTAGATAAATAATGAACAATAATTCCGTGGCATAATCTAGATAAAACAGGAACTCCATAGCTAATCTAGATAAAACAGCAATTCCGTAGCTACTCTAGATTAATAGTGAACAATAAATCCGTGGCATAATCTAGATAAAACAGGAATTCCGTAGCTAATCTAGATAAAACAGGAATTCCGTAGCTACTCTAGATAAATAATAAACAAGAATACCGTGGCATAATCTAGATAAAACAGGAACTCAATAGTTAATCTAGATAAATCATGAACAAGAATTCCGTAGCTACTCTAGATAAATAATGAACAATAATTCCGTGGCATAATCTAGATAAAACAGGAACTCCATAGCTAATCTAGATAAAACAGCAATTCCGTAGCTACTCTAGATTAATAGTGAACAATAAATCCGTGGCATAATCTAGATAAAACAGGAATTCCGTAGCTAATCTAGATAAATCATGAACAAGAATTCCGTGGCTAATTTAAATTAAACAGGTGCAGGAATACCGAAGCTAATCTTGATAAAACAGGAACAGCAATCCCGTAGCTAATTCCTTGCGTTTTATTTTCCCTAGTTTAGGATTTTTGGAGATAACTTTATCTGTCCTAATAAGGAATTTATTCAAGATATTCTGCCTTTTCATTGAATCTGTCCTAACCTGAGATTCTCAAGAGATATTTTATCCTCCCTTCTATTTTCCCAGCAGTAGAGGACGGCCATCTGGAAGGTTGTAACCTCAATGTCAAATTTGCCAGTCCTAAAATCAAATCAAATCAAATCAAATCAAATCAAATCAAATCAAATCAAATCAAATCAAATCAAATCAAATCAAATCAAATCAAATCAAATGATTACAATTTGGCAATAAGATACTGAGAAGAAAACAGAAACCTTCTTTGTCGTAAATATAATTTCTTCAAGGAAAAAAATGAGTTGCAAAAATTTCCAAATAAGTTTTCAGAAGTAAAGATAAATAACATTAGAGCTGCTCACTTGTTAACAAAGGTAAGAGTACCATTAGACATATGATGATGCCACTTTAGCTTCCGTCCACTGTGTTTACTCTTATAGAACTCTTCAACCTACAAAAAGTATCATTATTATCATTGTAATCAAACATATCGATATCCTACATATATCGTCATTGTAACTAGCAATCTAATTTACGCTTGATTCACTTCTAAAAGAGATTTAAAGATTTTCGTATTAAACCTAGTCCAAAATGGATAATTCTAATACAAGTTAATGAACCTTTGTCCAAGAATACTATGATCATGAAGGAATACATTAATCCTATGTTGAAATATTCTGATCTTGAGCTCGTCAGTTTTTCAGACAACAATATTCCGGTGAATATTTCAACTGCCACAACTACCACACAACAAGTGGAAGTCTTTACAAAGCTTGTATAGACTCAGAGTTCTGACTAACTCTTCAATCGACAGCTCTGTATTCTAAGATCTGTATAGAGCACATATTTTAACATAAGCTTTCCAAATAGACTTGAGTTAAACAATAATGGAAGGGTTAAAAAAATATTCGTGGTTCTCAAGTGTTATCTGGAACCCTAGGCTATTGTTAAGAATGATTAAGTATTTTATTGGCATATTTATCAATTAACTAGTTGGATTATTTTCATATAGATAGATTGATTTAGCAATTTATCAGTAGTTTAATCAATGATACCTGATCTCTGATTGATTTATTGACTGGTTGTTAAAAAAATAATTGATTAATTGATTGATTGGTAGATCTAACCTCTGGTATGTAGTCCTCTAGATCTCTGGGTAAACTGACAGGAACTCGTTCACTCCCCCGGGCCCAGGCACCAATATTTAGAATCTAATTTTAAAACAAAATCTATATTAATAATAAAGCTCTTCGCTCATCTTAAAATATTTATAATGTTAGCTACAGCTGGCTGAACGGATGGACCGAAATGGCTGACATTTTTTTTGGAAGCCCATAAAGTCAGATTTTTTATGTGATTTTTGATTTCTACGGGCAACGCCGGCACTTCAGCTTGTATACTACAGGGTGTCCCAATAAACATGGGAATTCAGTGACGAATTCGATATCGTCTGTTATAAATTAGCATCATAATACATAATTTCAAAAGCCATAATATTATTATGTCTGATAGAGTTTACTTTGTAAAAACGGTAGTGTTTGTAAAGATGTGTCTATAATGTCTCCACAAGATGAACAGTGAAGACGGACAACTTACAAGTTCACTCTGTTTGTATACTGTAATAACCGTAGTTGTCTAAACATAAACAAACAAATTGTAAACGTTGCAGACGAAAATCTTACGGATTGCAGCTTTCGCAACATGTGTCACTATACTAAATCAAAGAATTTTTTTAAAAGACGATATCGAATTCGTCACTGAATTCAAATGTTTATTGGAACACCCTGAATAACAGAGAACTAGATTTTTACCATTTTTTTTCTCTTAACTGATTTTCCGTTTCATAAATGTTGAAAGATTTTTTTTAAAAATGTATGTTATTGTAATGGGTATTGTTAAATGCGAAAAAGTTTTTGCCGGGATTTTTGTTTTTTTTCTAGGATGTTTGTCATTTTGATCGAAAACAAACTTGAAAAATTAAAAATCACGGCAAAATATTTTCGCACGCATGATACCCATTTCAATAACATATATGGTTTTATTCAGTTTTACTCAAATTATTAAAAGCAGGTCGATGAAGTTGAAAATGATGAAAATAAGACTTAAAACATATTTATCCAAGTTATAGTATTTACCTTGATAGAAAGTGAGTCTGTATGTACGTCTGGATTATTGGATTTACGAAAATCTAACAAATCATTCTTTATCAATTCATTAATAGATTATACTTTGTAACATAAATCTATATAATAAAACAAGACATTAGTATATATATATATATATGTTGCCTATAGCCGGCCAAACTGCTGAACCGATTGGGCTGAAATTCATTAATAGATTATACTTTGTAACCTAAATCTATATAATAAAACAAGACATTCGTATATATACATGTTGCCTATAGCCGGCCAAACTGCTGGACCGATTGGGCTGAAATTCATTAATAGATTATACTTTGTAACCTAAATCTATATAATAAAACAAGACATTCGTATATATACATGTTGCCTATAGCCGGCCAAACTGCTGGACCGATTGGGCTGAAATTCATTAATAGATTATACTTTGTAACATAAATCTATATAATAAAACAAGACATTAGTATATATATATATATATGTTGCCTATAGCCGGCCAAACGACTTGACCGATTGGGCTTAAATTTGTTACGTACACTCATGGGTGGCCGGGGGCTGTTTTAGAAAAATAATATATTTTCTTGAAGGAACTAAAATGATTTGAACTTTCCTTCCATTTCGTGGCTTTGCATTGCTCAATGATATCTTTATAAAGAGGAAGACAATTTAAAATAATCAAGGTACCATTGTGATTAGGACATGCAACTCTTGAAATAACGTCGACATTGGAGTTATTGATAAAACTTTGGAATTGTGTGTGAATAATTTGGTTTGCAACAGTTCACCAATTTCTATTGGAAAAGAGAAGATGATTTCCTTTGAATTCGTTGTTCAGATCCTCGCTCACTTTTATATCCTGAAGTAAATCATTCTTAAATCGATCTTTTTATTGTAAAACTTTTTTTGAAATGAATTAAAAAAAGAATGGTTTATTTTTTAAATAAAGTTCAACTAACTTGAAGGCTGTGTTAAATGGTCACGTAGTCAATTCTATTTAAAGATTTTCAGTAAAAACACATATTAATATGAATCTTCATTGGCTGCAGTTGAAGGGAAAATATATTTAAAATAAAAGTTAAAAATAAACCTGGAACATTCTAGAGAGTTTGTTGATAAAATCTGCCGGCATTCCAACCTGTGAAAAAAAAATTAACTAATCAACCATAAAATTAATTTGTAAATCAATTACTCTATTATCAAAATCAACCAACAAGACTAATAATTGTACCAACTGAAAATTTACTGAAAATATATTCAACAGCGGGTAAAAAAACCTAAAAGTTTCCTAATACTAAAAATTATTTGATAAAGTTAAATCTGAATTTAACATTTGATTTTTTTTAATAACTTAGAATTTATAATAACGTATTCAAAGTTCCTAAAACACCGATTTGATATTTGTACAAAGTCAGACAGAAATAAAAGCGCGGGGGGGGGGGGGGGGTTATTATGAATTTTTGAATTTTGAATTTAAAAAGAAAATTCCAATGATTTAAAGTTTTTAAATTACATCTCAGAAATGTTCCTGTAAACCAATCCGCAAACATGTAACGTCGTAGCATATGTAAAAACTGTAACATATTTAATTATATGTAATAACACATGAAATTTTTTGTAAACTTTCGGATCCTAAATAAATATATAGATTTCAAATGTTTTTGAATTTTGTTCTTTATCTGTCGAAAAAAAGTCAGTGATGAGGGGAGAGATCATTTTCAGAAACAACTTTTTTTTCAAGCTAAAATTACAGCGACAGCCAAAGTCTAATATAAATTCCTTTTCAATCAAATTATCTTTCAATATGGTGGTTCTTTTTCAGATATATCATTACTACGGTGGTAGGCAATTAAATCAATACGATGATAAAATTTTTTTTTCAGTATTAATTGTTAACAAGCTTCTCTCGAAATATAAGTTTCCAAGTAAATAAAAACAGGATTTTTTAATTGACAGGTTCTCTTTGTATTTATTTTTTTGTGTATCCTTGCAGTTTAAAAGCTTGATATAAATCAAAATTAAAATCGAAAGTCGTCTTCATTATATTGATAATATCGCCTGCCACGTTATTATTTTCAGTCAGTTTTTAAAGCATTCAGCGCTGATGATGTTAAAAATAACACCAAACAACAACTGGTTTAAATTTTCATGATCCCTAAAGTTTCCACAAAATAAAAAAATAAAAACCTCTCTCAACCACTCCACCATATTCTCCTCCTTCTCACTGTCTGCACTTGTGTCCAGGATCAAACGACGGGTTAAGTGCGCCTGAAGAAGAAAATTAATGAAGATTCCTGACTTTAAGAGATTGCCAAGCGATCCTAAATTTCAAAAGAACCATGCACAGAGGTAATCTCTGAGCTTTTTCTGAGGGATATGTAAGCTTAAAAAATGATTTTTGATGATCTAAAAAAAATCAAAATTGGACATTCATAACTTTGAAACTTTATACCCCAAAAATCTGTTTATTTCCCCTAAAAATAACTAATTATTAACCAATTATGTAAATGAAATACTAGAAAACAAACATCTGAGGCAAAAACATCATTTTCAAAGAGGAGGGGGAAATATGCACCCCTATGTTTCTTATCTTACAAATCATGTAAATCTTTGTTTAAGTATTAGCTTTTCTAAAATGTAATTTCTAAAATTTCTCTGATTCACTTAAAAACGAAATAGAAAATGACATCGAAGTGTACCTTGTGATAACGCATAAACACATCCTTGTTCTGAACATACTTCAACACCAGTAGGACATCACGGAGCTTAGATTCAACCTCGTCACTTGTCAACCTCTACAATAAATCCATCAACCAATCAATCAATTAACCAATCAATCAATCAACTCATCAATCAACCCATCAATCAATCAATCAACCAACCAACCAATCCATCAATCCATCAATCAATCCAAATATCCATCATTCAATCCGTCAATCCATCCATAAATCAATACCCCCTCAATAAACCCATCAATCAATACATCAACCAATCAAACCATCAATCAATCAATCAATCTCTATCAATCAATCCATCAATCAATACCCCATCAATCAATCCATCAAACAATCAATATATCAATCTAATAAATCAATTCTAATAAATCAATAAACCACTTATGATTGTTTGTAAAATTAGATTTTAAAATATGACTTTATCTTAATTCAATTCAATTTAATTTAATAAGCCAGGGAGTGCCCAAAAGCTCAATGACCTAGCCAGGGTAAGCCATCACAATCCCTTCTAGGTTAAGGCTTTTAAGCTTGACATAATTAAAGCTTTTTATTGAATTCTACCTTTGAAAGTGGAGTTTTCCTGAGTAACATATCACAGTAGTTTGCCAGGAGTTCAGGACATTTAGACTCTGGCTGGGTCTTGCTGTACACTCCAGACTTATTCGGTAAATCCAACTAAACAATATAAAATTAACAAACCTTCTAAATGTTTAATATTAGTTCATGGAGAAACAAATCGGAATTTAATAAGGAGGGAACAAAGACGACCCACTCAAAATGACAAAACAAAATAATATTGGGTGCGGCATCCACGAAACCAATACGCACGCAGCAGAATAGAGTGAGGTGGTTGAACAAACGTTATTAAAATATGTAAATCTATATACTTAGGTACATAATTCATAGTATGGAATAGAAATATAAAAGATCTAATTGAATGATTCGGCCAAAAGTCGGATGAAATAAGGATAAACCTAACATTCTCTTAAAATTCAGGCTATAGATACAAGCCTCTGTAGTTGGGGCTTCACGGCTTCGGCTACTTCCACTCGGGCATAACAGTATCATTGCACATGTCATGCTAACTCTGTAACCCAAGTACTCCTAAGGGAGGCGGAGGGTTGCCGGGAGGGGTGGTTTCCTGGTAACATTTGTGTTATTGGGATGTCCTAATAGATAGATTATTAGGTATACGAGGATATACGAGTATTGATCAGAAACACAAACCACCAACGGAGAATAAGTAATGCACCCGGCCAGAACTTATTTTCCTAATTCACATTATGCGTTCAGAATTGTATAGTCACTTAGTTCATCATAAATAGATAAATAAATAAATAAAAGGTCAATCCTCATTCCGTGGAAATGAATAGAAAGAAAGAAGGACTAGATATGACATGATTCAAGTGTTCAAGCTCATGCACAATTATGATGATGTAGACAGGAGACAGTTCTTCCAGACTGCAGGAGAAGAATCAGTCAGGGTTACCAGGCAATCTTCTGATGCATTAAATATATACTAACAACCAGATGCAAGACTGAGGTTAGAAGGAATATCTTCACCAACAGAGTAGCGGAGAAATGGAACAAATTACCAGAATATATCAAAGGAGCAGGAAATATTAAAACTTTCAAGTCTTCATATGATAAAATACCAGAACAGCAGGAATGAGAAACCTATGAGTAAAATGCTGGGTACAAAAGACGTCATCTCTATGCTCCTATCTGGAACTCTGATGACAAATCTACAAGTATGCCCAAGTAAGAAAGGCCGAGTCCCCCTAACATAAAATGCAAAAGGACGGAACTCGCTGGAACAGTTGATTCCTTTAATTACACCAGTCTACTTAATACGAGAATGAAAATTGAGACTTTGCAAAATACTTTTCAAATTAAACCTTTGATTTGAATATTCTTCCGTTAAGGTATTTATAACATTTTTCCAAGATGATTTTATAAATTAATTCGCAGAAATGGGAAGAAAAAATCAGGGTAAAAATATGAAAATGGACAAAAAACTTTTGATTTAAAGCATATCATTTTTTCATTAAGCATTAAAAATTTTCACCCCGCCCCCTTATATTGTATATTTTTCAAGTTAAATCCTGAATTTTTAATTATTAATTATAAATTATAATTAATTATTCATAGTTTTCATGCTTAATACCAACTTCATTATTTTACTGACCCTGAATATTGAGGTATCGTTCACAACCCTTTTATATGCCTTGTCTCGAGCAGTCAGGAACCGGGGGTCATCTTTGAAACCCTGAACAAAATAATATTAAACATATTAATATTTAACATAATAATATATTTCAATTAATTTTGATGGTTAAAAACTTTTTTTTTCAAGAGAAAGAGAAGACTGAAGTTTGTTTACCAGACAAGAAGACTGAAGTATGTTTACCAGACAAAAAGGCTGGAGTATGTTTACCTGACAAGAAGACTGGAGTATGTTTACCTGACAAGAAGACTGGAGTATGTTTACTAGACAAGAAGACTGGAGTATGTTTACTAGACAAGAAGACTGGAGTATATTTACTAGACAATAAGACTGGAGTATGTTTACTAGACAAGAAGACTGGAGTATGTTTACTAGACTAGAAGACTGGAGTATGTTTACTAGACAAGAAGACTGGAGTATGTTTACTAGACAAGAAGACTGGAGTATGTTTACTAGACAAGAAGACTGGAGTATGTTTACTAGACAAGAAGACTGGCGTATGTTTACCTGACAAGAAGACTGGAGTATGTTTACTAGACAAGAAGCTGGAGTATGTTTACTAAACAAGAAGACTGGAGTATGTTTACTAGACAATAAGACTGGAGTATGTTTACTAGACAAGAAGACTGAAGTATGTTTACCAGACAAGAAGACTGAAGTATGTTTACCTGACAAGAAGACTGAAGTATGTTTACCTGGCTGACAAGAAGACTGAATCGTCTGAAAAGATTTAAAAGCTGCTCAACATACTTCTCACTGTCAGCAGTTATAGCTTCAGCTGACGCGACCATATCAGCTAAACCGGCCTGAAAGTGGGACATCGCGTAAATTTAACCAACCAATACATCCATCAATCTATTCATATTTTATGTTTTTTTTCTCAATTAAATTTGTAAAATCAATTGGTTAATCTAAGGTCGGCACTTATGTTTGAAGTATAGTTAATCTTTAACAAAACCTAGAATAGTCATAGCAATTTCTTCTCAGAATAAAGTTACTGTTAGATTGAATAACAATTGTGCTTTGGGAAATCAGATTATAACACATAGACACTAGTGTAGTTTAGATGGGATATTGCTAGTGGCTTTTCAACATGCAGGACTACGGCCAGTGCTTAGGATCCGGATCCGTTGGATCCGCAAGATTTTGGCTTCCTGGATCCGGATCCGCAAAAATATGCGGATCCACGGATCCGGATCCAAGGGGTAAAATAACAACCAAAAACTACAAAAAAATGTTACTCCTAAAACCCAAATCTGAACTTTTGAAAAAAAGAGATAATAAAAATTTCCGCATTTCTGAATGGTTCATAAAGTTTTAGGATAAAAATAAGCGAAAAAAAATAAACAAAAATTTTGAACATTATTTTTTGTTAAAAAATTCAGTAAATCTTAAAGAAATGACCTGGATCCGGATCCATTTTTTTCAATGCGGATCCAGGATTCAGATCCGGATCCGCATCAAATTTAAATGGATCCTAAGCACTCACTACGACACTTAATAATCCCACCACCGTCATATTAAATAAATAAATCATCCTCCTACCTGATATATGTGGGTCTCCAAAACAGTTAACATCGGATCAATTCCTAAAAACCACTGTCAAGTAAACGAAAAGAAGTCTAAAGTTAGGTAAAATCATAGCATGTTGTATTTCTCAATTGTTAGTATTTCAGAGGCTGAATTTAATAAATTTGAACTACCAATTATTGGTTCAAATTGCACGCTGGCTCATCTTAAAAAAAAACTGATTAAAATTTTAACTGCATATCATGTTTGAAATGCGTCTAGACATGGTTCAAGCTCTTTAAATTCGACCTCAGATATATGTACTTATTTAAAGAAATTTTCGTGGATTTTCATATTATTAAAATGTGTATTTACCCTCTCCATCAGGAACACGGTCCATTAACTACAGATACAAAATTATTATCAAAACAAGAAAATCGGGGAGTTTAGTTCCGGGATATTATGGATAAATGTACTTTATAGCCCAGGGTTAAATCGTTTTTGTCATAATTTCTTCAATAATTTGAAACAAAGAATTTGACAAAGATGAGCAGTATCAAAGAGAATTCGAAAAAATGTAAGAACATAATAATCTTAATCCTTCCTTATACATTTGAAGCAGCTTGGTGGTCTCGTTGGAGCGTATCATGTCAGCACACTCAGCCAGAATAGTTTCCTTAAACGCTGTCACCAGTACACTACAGTAAACAGTATCTTTAATTTTAAATTATTATTTTTGACGATAATTACAGACGTTAAAAAATTAATAGTTGCATTGAGCATTTATAAACTTAGACTTGACCCTAGAAAAAGCTTGCAGCATTCATAGAGAGAGAGAAAAAAGAAATCTGAAAAAGAGGTCCCGTTATGAACCCCCCAGACCGCCGGCAGGCATGGGAAGCACCGTCCCACACCTACTCTAACTGGACCTTTATACCCACAACAATTGATCTACTTCTCTCAACTCATAAATTCACAACTTTCTTGAAAATGGAAGGGAGGACTGTAAATTAACCTGACGCAGGAATCTATCAGATTCTGGACGCTTCCTGCACAGCTCTCTAGATATTTGTGTGCTCGTAGCTCCTCCTCGCGTAGCTTAGTATCAGCATACTTCATGTATAGGTGTACACCGTTCACATTCAACTAGTCAATTCATTTAGTTCAAACACTATTTAGAAGATTTTTACTAAATGTTTTGTTAAACCAAATATTTCGGAAAATGTTTTGTTAAACCAAATATTTCGGAAAATGTTTTGCTTAACCAAATATTTCGGAAAATGTTTTGTTACCAAATATTTCGGAAAATGTTTTGCTTAACCAAATATTTCGGAAAATGTTTTGTTAAACCAAATATTTCGGAAAATGTTTTGCTTAACCAAATAATTCGGAAAATGTTTTGCTTAGCCAAATATTTCGGAAAATGTTTATAAAACAACTGTCACGTTATTTTCATTGATTTATGAAAAAATGAAATAAAAGCTTCTTAAATGAATTTCCTGCTCTGGTGCTTGGACTTTGTAGAATGCTTCTGTGGCTGAAAAAGGAAATATTAAAAATATTAAAATTTTATTCAATTTTGAAAATAACTCTTACCTAAGATGTAAGCTCTCTCAAAGTTCTCCTTATAAATCTGTCAAAACATTCACGAGTAACAAATATTTTTTAAGGAAAGTTTGAATTTTCCTTCAATAAATAAAAATAAATTGGCGAATCCAATGAAATGTTCCATTTTGAATTTCATTTTACATTTTTAATTGGTTTAAACCTATTCCTCCAAGCTTTACTCCCCCCCCCCCAAAAAAGCCTTTTTTAGGTTTTGTCCGCGTGATGAATTCCTTATGTTTATCCTCTGCACTACTACACAGGTTAACGTAGGACTCCCTGACTCCAATCACCAGTTGGGAATCGAACGCCTCACCGTTCCTCTCCGCGTGAACCAACTTCATCGCAGAATCCTGAAATTAATCTTGTAGTTGTAGAACTTGAGACATGGATTCGTAATAGAAAATATACAGCCGTAAGATGTGAATAATTAGAAACCCACAAAGATATCTCTATTGACGCTTTTTAAATTTCATGAAACGTCTTTTTTGGTAATTCTTGGAACGCCGTTCCTTGAAGTATCATAATTTGACATTATGTGATCAGACAGTGACACTCATGGTATCATTTGACTTCATGTGATTAGACACTCTTGAAAATAAAACAAATTGCACTGAGTGAAGAATTTTCTCCACTCGGCGATATACGCCTTCAGTAGAGCCTGATCCTCCTAAAATCAACCAATCTATCAATCGTAATTTGATTACCCCAAAAGCTAAAACGCCATAAAAAACATTCAAACTAATTGGAAAAGCTTAACAAACTAACCAACCAACCAACCAACCAACAAACCAATTACCCAACCAGCCAATAATTAACCACCAGTTAACCAACCAACCAATTAATTAATTAACCAACCAACCAATAAATTAACCGACCAATTAACCAACCACCCAACTAATTACAAAAAAGAGGATTATTATTTTGTAAAGAAATTCCCTTTAAAAAAATAGAAACTATTGAAAGAAATTCCACCTGATGGGTCAGTACCCGTTCTTGAGCCTGGTTTATAAACACAAGAATATCTTCTCTTAGAGCAGCAAAAATCTAAAAATAAAAACAAATTATTTTTGATCATTGCTTTATAATTTCTCTTCAAGAGTGTATACAAGTGAGGAAATAAAAAATGAACTCCTTGTGATGATTACATTTAATATTTTGAGGGGTAAAAATAGTTTTTTTTTGTCAGTCATTACAAGCTAAGTGGTGTATTTTTTTAAGAATTAACCCCCCCCCCCGCCTGTGGGGGATTATTTTTGAAAATCTGTGGGGGGGGGGAATGAACACATGACGGACATGAAAAGGCAAGTTTTTTCCTAAATTTACCAATTTCCCCAATTCAGAAAATAAAACCTTTAAAGAAATATAACTTCAAGAGGAAAAAAATGATTTTAAAAAAAGGGGAGAAATAATTTTTCAAGAAAATATACACCCCAGCATAAGCTATTGGAAAGATCAAATCTATAAATATCCCAAAAACATATGAGCAATTAAAAATTTTCACAAATTAAAGTTCATTTACTTTAGGTGGACTTTTATCATCCCATACACAGAGACTGTGAACCGACCAGAACAGTTCCTGCCACTCAGCTCTGAAATAATTAATTAAATTGGTTTATTTCTGAAAATTCTTCCATAAAAAAATAAAGATAATATTCTGCACAAATCTCTTTAACTTGCATCTTTAAACCCATATTTTAATTAGAATCCAAGAAACTTTAAGTAAACAGGATTATAATTTCGTAAAAATAAGTTTTTAGATTAGGGATTGCAAACATTGAATCCCCTACCCTCCCATGGGTCTAACCCTGCTCGATTCCCTTCCTATCTCTAACCTTTCAGGACCCCCCCCCCCTTTCCTGTGCCTAAACTTTTATTTTAGCCACGTCCAACCCATTCCTGTCTCTAAACTTTCAGAACATCTCCCCCCGTTCCTCACCTTGGAACTGATTCCTGGCGCAAAAGCTTCAAGATAGTTGGGCGCATAGTCGGCCATTTGTCCTAAATAAACAAACATAACTTCTAATCCTAAGTAATCATTTATGTCAAACGTACATTAATTTCTTTGGCCGATTTTCACTTGGTCAGGTTGACACCATTATATGTTTAATAGAGTTTAAAAGTTGTTTAAACCCTCTATATGTGCTAAAATACCCAAATATCTCTAGTTGTATACTAAAATTGTATCTTGAAATACCCGAATATCTCTAGATGTATACTAAAATTGTATCTTGAAATACCTGAATATCTAGTTAAATAATAAAATTGTATCTTGAAATACCCGAATATCTCTAGTTGTATACTAAAATTGTATCTTGAAATACCTGAATATTTAGTTAAATAATAAAATTGTATCTTGAAATACCCGAATATCTCTAGTTGTATACTAAAATTGTATCTTGAAATACCTGAATATCTAGTTAAATACTAAAATTGTATCTTGAAATACCTGAATATCTCTAGTTATATACTAATATTGTATCTTGAAATACCCGAAAATCTCTAGTTGTATATTATAATTGTATCTTGAAATACCTGAATATCTCTAGTTGTCTACTAAAATTGTATCTTGAAATACCTGAATATCTAGTTAAATACTAAAATTGTTTCTTGAAATACCTGAATATCTCTAGTTGTATACTAATATTGTATCTTGAAATAACCGAATATCTCTAGTTGTATATTAAAATTGTATCTTGAAATACCCGAATATCTCTAGTTGAATACTAAAATTGTATCTTAAAATCCCGAATATCTAGTTATAAGTTGTATACTAAAGTTGTATCTTAAAATACCTGAAATGTTGGTTGGTTTCGCTCCTTTAACATAGTTAATCATAAACCTAAACTCTGAAAAAATCTCTCTGTTAATTCCGTCAATTCAGACTTATATAGCTTTAAAGATTTATTTAAATCTAGATCTGATGATGACGCGTAATAAATTACCGGTTCAACAACAGAATTCGTTTAAATTTTTTATTAACAAGGAACAGCAAGACACATCTTTATTAAATTCTAAATGCTGTAAATGTCCGTTTCATAATCATAAAAATACCAGCTCTTTCTTTATCAAGCTCCGTGGCTAAGATCTAAGCTATGTCAGCTATAGAATTCAAGGATTTAGGCTATGTCGCAAATGGGTTTCTAGGATTAAGGCTATATCGGCAAAGGGATTCTAAGGTCAAGGCTATGTCGGCAATGGGATTGCGTGCAGAAATGAAGTAATTAATTCTGAAGGAGAGGGGTTGGGAGGGTCCGTCAGTCTTCTTCCTCAAAATATCTAGTAGGTGAGATAGTAAAATAAAAAGTATTTGACCCAGAGAAAGCAAACCCCTATTGATGGTACGTGTTGAAATAGTAAAAATCATTCGTGGCCGTGTACAAAATAGAAGGGGTAGGGAACTCGCCCCTCTCCTAGCCATTAACTAATAAGAACTTTAGCTTCCAACAAAGTATAGATCTGAAATCACGATGATATTGTCGGTTCTGTGTTCAAAACAAGAAAATAGGAATAGTTACAAGTTTCTAAGCTTCAACTCAATACACGACATTAACCATTGGTTTTACGCGGATCTGTTAAGAACAAATAATATATAAATGTTGAAAAAAAAAACTTGGATTCACTCTCCGCTAAATACAGGACAAGAATGAATAACTCCGTAAACATAAAGAGAGATAAAAATATTTTTAAAATTTTTTCTCCAAGCCTGAAATTGCAATGTTACGCGGCAAATGGCGCAAAACTAATTTCTTATCAAGAGGCCTACGCTTCTTAGTCCCACAGCAATACGGTTCCGATAGTTGAGTCGTTGACAATGTAAAACTATACACTTAAAGAGAATAGTCGATAACTACTTTGGAGCCCGTTCCCTCCATAATTACTGGTCGTGTACTTCACGTACTTTGGGGGACGATATGTTGGCCGCTAGATGTCTCATGCTAGATTCTTATCCGTAGATAGATATTTCTCCGTTCACTTGACGACCAATATATGCGACGTCAAGTTGTCGACCAATGTAGTTTATGGAAGGAACGGCCTCTGATGGATACTCTCATGAAGGTTGTGTTTCCCCGAAGACCCCATAAGTTTTCAAATAATCAGTAATTGTCCAATGATCCGTATATTGCAGAAAAAAATTGGGGTTTGGGGGGGGGGTAATTTGAACTTAGGAAATTCAGAATTTATGATCTGAATATCAGTTACTGTCCCATCTATTTTTGTATATAGTGTATACTGCATAATACACCCTTGCCTGTTTCTGAACAGAATGGTTTATACGACAGAAAGACGTAGGTCGTGTGGTCTAGCAGATATACCTGAAGTGTACAGTGTGTACTCTCAAATATGAAATAAACAACTTTTCAAAGTTCAAACTTTCAACTAAGTGAATTTAAAGTTTTGATTGGTCACAACTCAGGATAAATTTGCTAATATCTGATAAAAATTCAAACCAAAGTAATATCATTTATCCCGTCTGATAAGGTGCTAAGGCTATTTCATGTCTTTGTTTTATATTTCTAAATTTCTGTAAATCCTCAAAAAGACACAATGAAAAATCTAGGAATTTACATAGATTTAAGACACCAGTAATAAGGTGTATAGAAATAAACGTTTATCAACCAATCAATCAATCAATCAATCAATCAATGAATTTACAAAACACATTCTTAAAAAAACATGAGTTCTGAAAATCACCACCAGGAGTAGCGAAAATGTGCATTCAAACTTAATTGAAATCAATTATTAAATAAAAATTACTCTATTTTCGCTTAGATTTCTAAGATTTGGGTACTATTATATATATAAATGAATTTTTGGGTCTATATTTAAAGTTTCCTTAGTAAACCATGCCTTTGACATGGTTGTACGAGACCTTTATGTGAAATAACGCTAGAAGGGGTTAATACGGTTTTCAATTTAATTAGGGTGGCTTAATTACATTGGATGTTGATACGTCAAGGAGCTTTTATATTTAAGGGGATCCCCTTTGGATGCATAGAAATAAACGATAATCAACCAATTAACGATACGTGAATGTAGTATTTAAATTTTCACTTATCCAAAGGGAGTGCTCCCCATCCTCATCCCCCCCCCCCCCTACCCACTGTTATTCCGATGAAAAGTATGGTGTGAATTGAAATAAATTAACGTCTCCAAGGTTATGTGTTTGCTGATTTTAGAAATTAACTATATTTAAACTATTTTTTTCATTAAAACTTCGTTTTTTACGAATTGTATCATTCTCAATCCAATAATAGGGAACTGTGCCTATAAAAATGTTATGTGTGGCCGCATCGACATGCACCCTGCCTGTCTGTCTTAGGAGAAAGTGTTCCCTATGACAGGCCCAGTTTGTCCCTAAATGAGATAAAATAATTGTATTATTTGCATACAGTATGTTAAGCTGACATCAGGCTGAGAATGAACGGGGGAGAATCCTTGCCACGTGCCGGCCTTGTATCCCAGATCAGGCAGAACTGGTCGGTTTATGAAGATCAAGCTCTAGCTACTCGGATACAACATGATGAAATAAACCAACACTATCAAGGTTCAGCTATCCTCAGATAATCGAATGATTTTCCATCCGGTTAAGGGGTTAGTGGGATATATATTTTCTTGAAAAATCACCCCCCCCCCACACATTTGAGCATGTAGCGCCGAATTGGGGAAATAAATGAATTTTTGAAAAAAGTTGTAAAGGGTAAATTTACTTCCCGCTCTCGACCCCCCCCCCCCTACCCTTATATCTATGAAAATAATTTCTCCCTCTCCCCAGTGCAGAGGGGGGTGGGGGGTTAACTCTCCAAAATATGAAATTTCCCTGAATCATTACGCTTGGTTTTTACTTTTGTTGAGTTTTTGGTCCGGTCAATGATGTCGCAACTTCGCAATTGTATTTAGTGCCACTATTGGCATCACTGTGTAGAATAAGTATGATAATTTCAAGTCAATCTCAAAATGTCATAACACAACCTTAGGCCAGGTATAAAGATAAAGATTTAAATCTGAAAGTCCCCCCAATATGGGAGACCCAGACCGCCCAAGGGGTTAAGTAACTTAAAGGCAGTTCTATATCCCAATATCATAGATTTTACTGAATATAATTCTTGATAATTTAACATTTTTCATAAATACAGGGGGAGTTAAAAAATGATGATTATTGTTATCTCCTTCAAAACTAATTTTTGTGGAATTCTCATATATGACATTTTTCCTGTTTGGGGAACAACAGTAGGAACCAGCAGATCAGACTATATGTTTCTCAACCTAAATCTATTTGTTAAGGGAACAAGAGTAGGAACCAGCAGATCAGACAAAATGTTCCTCAAGCTAAATCTAATAGTTTATGGAACAAGAGTAGGAACCAGCAGATCAGACATAATGTTCCTCAAGCTAAATCTAATTGTTAAGGGAACAAGATTAGAAACCAGCAGATCATACAATATGTTTCTCAGGCTAAATTTATTTGTTTAGGGAACAAGAGTAGGAACCAGCAGATCAGACAAGATGTTCCTCAAGCTAAAGTTATTCAATCTTATGAAATACAGGATGCGGAGGAAAGGAGAAACAAATATAGGTAAATATGAGGATAATCTAGTAAATTCTATAATATTGTCTTTCAGTTCATAACTAAGCAATATACATTATACATTACATTTATATAGAGAAATTCTGGAACGACAAGCTGAGGCAGATTCTAAACTGGCGTTAGCATTGGCTTTGGGAACTAGATCTGGATTCAGGGATTCAGATGCTCCTGCAGTTGGATTCAGAGCTGCTCTAGCACCGGGATTCAGAGATTCAGCTGCACCAGCACTTGGATTCAGGGATTCAGATTCTCCAGAAATCGGATTCAGAGACTTGGATCCAGTTGGAACTGGATATAGAGATTCTACATCAGCGGGGAATAGAGATAATTGGGCTGAAGAGGGTTTGGATGATGAATATACAAAGAAGAGAGATGAGATGTTTGCAAGAAATCTCCAGGAAGAAGGATTAAGAAATAGGTGCAGTAACAGAATTAGTTTTCCCATTTAGAGGGACGAAGAAATCTATTTTACACTAAAAAAGTCTGATTTTTTTCTATTTTACCAAAACGTTTGACCCATTTTTTTTTTCTTTGATAAAAATGTTAGACCTAATGATTTGTATATATATTTAACCCATATTTAACAAAGCTCTAAGTATCCTGAGGTCGAAATTAATAATCAGCGAGATGTAGTTTAGCCTAGGTGAACTACTTTACCCTCGTTTATTAAATCTCAGGTTTGGGCCAGATCAACAAATTTCTGTTAAATTCTGTAAACTGTGATGTTCTAAATAACCTGGAAGAATATAAATTGATTGATAACTTTAAAGTCGACTCTGACCTTAGAAATAGCTTGCGACATTCATTTTAGATAACTTGATTTTTTATTTTATTTTTTATGTAACAATAATCACAAAATATCCTAATCTTGCCTTTTTCAAAAATGTGGTCTGCCATGAAAATATCGCATTATGAAAAAAATCATTTATATATGAATATGAAAGCACAAAAATGGCAGACCACATTTTGGAATTTTGTGATAATTGTTTCGTAAAAAAAATCATTGCAAAGGTTAGGTTACCTATGTTGAATGCCGCAAACTATTTCTAAGATCAAAATGGACTTTAAGGTTATCAATTAATTCACATTATTACGGGATATTTAGAACATCACTGTACAGTGTACATTGGGATCTTTTCTAAATATATATGATTTTCTTGTTAAGGTCCCGTAACAAGCCAGCTGCTGATATTGGAACTCTTGCCTACAATGATGCAGATTACAGGGTTACAGTCGCCAGACCAGCGGTAGTAACAGATGAACCTTTGTATGCAAACCAGGAGAAATGCACCGCTGATTTATCTACAGCAGAGATGTCAGCAAGAGCAAATACATCTCCCAGACCTGAGATATCACCTAGATCAGAATTTGGTTCATTGGCGGATAGGTTTTCAAGACCTGAGATGTCATCGAGGGCTGGGATGTCTTTAAGAGCAAAGATATCACCTAGATCGGAATTTGGTTCGAGGCCTGAAAATACTTTAAGAGCAGAAGTGCAATCAAGAGCTGGAATGTCTTCAAGAGCAGAAGTGCAAGCAAGGGCAGAAACGTCTTCAAGAGCAGAAGTGCAAGCAAGTGCTGAAATGTCTTCAAGAGCAGAAGTGAAAGTAAGATCGGTTATGTATTCAAGAGCCGAGATGTCATTGAGGGCTGGGATGTCTTCCAGAGAACAAATATCACCTAGATCAGAATCGGATTTAAGAGCTGAAAACCTTTCAAGAGCAGATATGTCTTCAAGAGCGGAAATGCAAACAAGATCTGAGCTATCTGCAAGAGCAGGGATGTCCTCCAGATCAGAGAATTTTTCCACTAAAGAGAACAAGACTTCTGGACAGGAAAGACAGCATGCTCCTGTTACAAGAACATACACTGAAGGTGCAGGTAAACAATATAAAAAACTTGAACAGGCACTTGGAACCCACAGGTAGAAGTATTACATATCAACTCTTTTAAATCAAAACTAGTAAATGGATTATCTTACATTGAAAACTTTGCACTGATTCTAAGTTTTTGCCTCTTTTTGCACGTTGCGCTTAAATATGTAAACTTGAGATATGATATACTTTTTTCAATTCTCCTTATTTCTTACCAAAACAAAGATTAATTATCTATTTTTTCTAATGAAGCCCATTTCCATTTGAGGATGTTTATCAACATGCCACACATTTTTTTCTATCGCTTAAACTCCATCCTCTTCCTGTCCTATCTCCCTTTGACCCTTTTTGGTGGATTACATGCATATTTCGATAAAGATATTACAACTTTATTATTTCTAAATTGAATCTAGAACAACCATGATGAACAAATTCAGACTATAGATACAGGCCACTGTAGTTGGGGCTTCACGGCTTCGGCTACTTCCACTCGGCCATAACAGTATCATTGCACATGTCATGCTAACTCTGTGATCCACCACGTACTGCAAGGAGGCAGACGATTGCAGGGAAGGGTCGGTACCTGGTAGCATTCATGTTATTAGGAGGGCAAAATAAATAGATAGATTCTTTTCTCTTTTCATTTAACTTATACGACTTGACTCCATCAAGCTCTGATGATTAACTGACTGAAGAAAATGGCTTCATTAATCAAAATAGAATGCTGATAGATTCTTTTCTCTTTTCATTTAACTTATACGACTGACTCCATCAAGCAATTAAACTAAGAAGTAAGCATATTGACTCCATTTAACTTAACAGATTAACTCCACTTAATTTATGAAACTGGACAGAATAACTTTATGCTTTGTATTCTAGGATCTACAAGTTATCCTTCCTCTCTAGCAGTCTGTAGGGTTGAAGACTTGAATACAAGTTCAGATTGTAGAACTTCAAGTAGAACTTCAGAAAGGTAACAACAACTAGTAATATAGGTTGAAGGGTAACAACAGCTAGTTTTCATTAGTTTAAGGGTAACAACAACCAGTTTTATAGGTTGAAAGGTAACAACAACTATTAATATAGATTTAATGGTAACAACAACCAGTTTAATAGTTCAAAGGGTAACAACAACTAGTTTTATAGGTTTGAAGGGTAACAACATCTAGTTTTCATTGGTTTAAGGGTAACAACAACTAGTTTTATTGGTTTGAAGGGTAACAACAACTAGTAATATAGGTTAAAGGGTAACAACAACCAGTTTTATAAGTTGAAAGGTAACAACAACTAGTAAAACATATAGGTTGAAGGGTAACAGCAACTAGTTCTATAGGTTGAAGGGTAACAACAACCAGTTTTATAGGTTGAAAGGTAACAACAACTAGTAATATAGGTTGAAGGGTAACAACAACCTAGTTTTATAGGTTTAGGGTAACAGTAATAATAACTAGATTTAAAGGTTAAAGGGTAACAACTAGTAATATAGGTTGAAGGGTAACAACAACTAGTAATATAGGTTGAAGGGTAACCACAACTAGTAATATAGGTTGAAGGGTAACAACAAATAGTAATATAGGTTGAAGGGTAACAACAACTAGTAATATAGGTTGAAGGGTAACGACAACTAGTAATATAGGTTGAAGGGTAACCACAACTAGTAATATAGTTTGAAGGTTAAAAAGAAATAGTTTTATGGGTTGAAGGGTAATAACAACTATAGTTAGTAAATTTGAAGGGTGAGAACACCTAGTTTTCATAGGTTTAGGGTAACAATAACTAATTTTTAAGTTTAATAGTTGTTATTAATATAGTTTTCAGGATGACAATCAATATGTTGGGTTTAAAGAAACCAATGTGAATGGTTGATGTCATTTATTTTTGAGGCCTTATGTTTTAATTTCTAGATCTGATAGCTCATTAACAAGCTATAGTGAGCTGGGAGCCTATGGTGGTGCTTGTTTTATAGATACTAATCCAGATAATATATTGGGTAAATTTTTGATTTTTTTCTAAATATTTTTATTCTAGAATCCTTATGTATTTGCAACCTGATGATGTAAACAAATTTTGCTATTGTATTCAGCAGACTTCATGATTTAATATATCTAAAACATATACAACTTAGTTATTATCAATAAAATTATCAGTTCTGAAAATATTCTAGGTATCGGTTCAGCACTGACCCCTTCAGAACTAGCGGCAGCTCAAGCTGCTGAACTGCTTTTCCAACAAGAACGCAGGGATGCAGAACTAGCTCAGAGATTACAGGTAGATATTAGATATTATAGGTTTATATTAGAGATTATAGGTATATATTAGAGATTACAGGTAGATAGTAGAGATTATAGGTATATATTAGAGATTATAGGTATATATTAGAGATTATAGGCATATATTAGAGATTATAGGTATATATTAGAGAATACAGGTAGATAGTAGAGATTACAGGTAGATAGTAGAGATTACAGGTTAATATTAGAGATTACAGGTAGATATTAGAGATTACAGGTTAATATTAGAGATTACATGTAGATATTAGAGATTACAGGTAGATATTAGAGATTACAGGTAGATATTAGAGATTACAGGAATATATTATAGATTACAGGTATATATTAGAGATTACAGGTAGATATTAGAGATTACAGGTAGATATAAGAGATTACAGGTAGATCTTAGAGATTATGGGTAGATAATAGAGATTATAGGTAGATCTTAGAGATTACAGGTATAAATTAGAGATTACTGGTTGATATTAGAGATTACAGGTAGATATTTGAGATCACGGGTTGATATTAGAGATTACATGTAGATATTAGAGATTACAGGTATAAATCAGAGATTGCAGGTGGATATTAGAGATTACATGTAGATATTAGAGATTAAAGGTAGATATTAGAGTTTACAGGTTGATATTAGAGATTACAGGTTAATATTAGAGATTACAGGTTGATATTAGAGATTACAGGTATATATTAGAGATTAAAAGTAAAATTAGAGATTAAAGGTAGATAGTAGAGATTACAGGTGGATATTAGAGAAAAAGATTAATTTACAGGTAGATATTGGAGATTAAAAAGCATTAGCGATTTAACGGACATTATAGATTACTAGTAGATATTAGAGATCTCTTTTCCGTTTAAAGAGAAGGCCAGGGCTGAAAAACCAGTAATGGGGAAAGACTTGAAACTCCGATCCACTACTGGAGCCTTAGGCCATCCCTACAACTTATGATTTGATTTGATCTGATTTACTGACAAATTTGTTGATGAATTATATATTTAAGGATCAGTTGGAATCCTGTGAAGATGACATAGACAGGAAGTTGGCTATTGAAGCGCAGGACAGAGAGTTTGCTAAAATTCTTCACGCTAAAGAGAAAGCCCGAGCCAGGCGAGCCAAGGAGAAAGCCCGTCAGAGAAAGCTGGAGAAGCAGAGGTTAGAGGAGGACAAGGTTGAAGTACTGGAAGTCGAGGACGAATTCTCCGAGGCCGGGGTCTCCAGGGTTGAGAATAAACTGTCTCCTAGGGATAAACCCAGTTCTCCAAGGCAAGCCCAATCTGACTGCAGGTATGTCATCTCAATGGTGGGGAACATTCAAATCATATAAAAAAGCATATCAATTTTTCATTCAAAACATATCAAACGACAAATCGTATAATATAATACAAAATTAAGTAACATTTTCATGATACGTTTTGTATTTTGATATTTTCTGTATTTGAATATGTTTTGTATCTTGATATATTTTGTATTTTGATATGTTCTGTATTTGAATGTTTTGTATCTTGATATATTTTGTATTTTGATATGGTCTGTATTTTGATATGCGTTGAGTTGTGATATATTTTGTATTTTGATATGTTTGTTTTAATATGTTTTGTATTTTAATATGTTTTGTATTTGAATATTTTTTGTATTTTGATATATTTTGTATTTTGATATGCTTTGTATTTTGATATATTTTTTATTTGATATGAATTGTATTTAGGATTTCGATATGTTTTGTATTTTTATCATGTTTTTTTTTAATATGTTTTATATTTTATCATGTTTTGTATTTTGGTATGTTCTGTATTTTGATAGGAATTTTTTGGATACGTTTTTTATTTTGATAATTGATATAAAATGCGAAGAAGATGTATTCTGCTCTAACATGGTTTGTTGTGATATGTTATGTTTGGATAATGGCTATGTTATGTTTGGATAATGGATATGTTATGTTTGGGTAATGGCTATGTTATGTTTGGGTAATGAATATGTTATTTTGGATAATGGATATGCTTTGTGATGACATGTTTTGTATCTGCCCCTAAATAGAACCATTTATTCTGAAGAGCAAATCGAGAAAAAGATTCTGAAAAATTGATATCTTTAATATTTAAGTTTTTTTTATTGTTTCCTCTTTTCCAGGATATCTCCACGGTCTCCTGAAGTGCAGCCGCCTGCGCGTAAACCCTACGTACACACTGCCGCAATAGATTCTCACGTGAACGATACATATTGTAAGACTCAGATTACCCCAACAGTTTCAAACAGTAGTGAGTCTAGTGAACCTCAGTACGCTAATCTTGATTCAAAGTAAGAAAACCTTGATAAGTTCATAAATATCTTTTCTTTAAATTCTAAGAAATTATTTTAAGGTCACTGACCTTGAAACACGTTTGAGTTGGATCCCCTTAATCATGTTTGTTTATCTCGATGTCCAATGTAGACAGTTATGATTTTTCTGCTTAATCCTCTCTTTTGGATATCCCTGTTTTTAATCGTTTACTGCAAATGACACTCTGATTGGTTAAATTTTGACACTAATCTGAATATCAAAGAAAGGTTAAATTAATCTACAGAGAAAATCAAGTATTGATCTCGATATCCACAATACAAGAGTTTCCAGCAGTGTTATGAGTTGTTGATAAAAAAAAATAGAATAAAAAATCATTTGAAATTAAAATATTGGTCATGTACAAAATTGATAGGAGGGTGTCCAAAAATCGTTCACTAGGACAGACCCAAATCTTTAAATATATTTAAATATATATTATATCTGCAGTAGACATTATTAGAATTGCTATAATTTGTTATAGAAATTATTTTTACAAAAAAGGCGTTTTTCTTTTTAGGGGAAGACCATTGAAGACAGAGCCTATACTTCATCTTTCTAATTCTAAATCCTGTGATAAGTATGTCTATTAATTTCTTCTTATTATTTATTTACAGGGTTTTAAGGAGGTAAAAACGACTTTAAACTAATCAAAAATGACAATCCCAAGTTTAAATAGGTTTATTTAATGATTTGGCAATTTAGAAAAGAAGTAGGTTTACAGTTGAAGAATCATAAATCTAAGGAAACATCTTCTATATAATATAATAAGACATTCGTATATATGTTCTCTAGAGCCGGCCGAAGGGCTGGACCGAATGGGCTGACATTTTTTGAGGGAACCCAGGGGTATACCGGGGGTAAGATAGGCTAAAAAAATTCTAATTTTTTTTTATAAATTCCATAAAATCTTCTATGAGTCTCATCCTTTGTGGGAAATCCTGTAATTATCGACTAATTAATTGGATTCCTTGTGTCCCAAAATATCCTGGGGTACATCTCCCCCCCTTGTACTATACAAGCCTGGGCTTCTAGCATAGACTTTCTTCTTGACGCTAAAACTCCAATCATTGTTCATCCCACATACAGTGTAACCCAGAACTTCTGAGACACCACAAGAATTTATAAAATGCCGCTTTCTAAAACTACTTATAATAGAATGCTGCAGATATTAAGTTCTGTGTTAAGCTGTATTTGAACCTTAATTTTTTTTGTCCACAATTTTGTATAATTTTTACAGTCCATAAACCATCCCTGCAGTTATTAGATGTCACACACGTTTTTGATAGCCATGATACTTAAGATAAAATTGGTTCTTTCTTGTTTCATCAAACCTAAATGTTTAATTTTGATTTTAATGAGAAATTAAAATTTCCTTTTTTGAGATAAGGGGAAATGCTGGTTTATTATATAATCTGTTTATAATTAGGATCTCGCCCCGGCACTCCGTCCTAAATGAAGATATGCCGATTCCTCCATATATGCCTATGCAGAGCTCAGCTAGTAAGAAGTCAGAGTCTATGGAGAGAAAAATTAAAAAGAAGAAAGAGAAAGAGGGATGCAAACAACAATAGAATTGAGGGAAAGAAGGATGCAAACAACAATAGAATTGAGGGAAAGAGGGATGCAAAGAACAATAGAATTAAGGGAAAGAGGGATGCAAACAACAATAGAATCGAGGGAAAGAAGGATGTAAACAACAATAGAATTGAGGGAAAGAGGGATGCAAACAACAATATAATTGAGGGAAAGATGGATGCAAACAACAATAGAATTGAGGGAAAGAGGGATGCAAACAACAATAGAATTGAGGGAAAGAGGGATGCAAACAACAATAGACTTGAGGGAAAGAGGGATATAAACAACAATAGAATTGAGGGAAAGGGGGATTCAAACAAGAACAAGAGGGTTGCAAACAATAACAAGAATGAAGGGAAAGAGGGTTGCAAACAATAATAAAAGTTATGAGAAAGGGGGTTGCAAACAATAACTAGAATGAAGGAAAAAAGGTTACAAACAATGTCATGAATTGAAGAAAAGAGTGTTGCAAACATTAAGAAACGAGGAACAGAAAGAAAAAGATTAAGGAAAAAAGAGGAATACAAACAACAACAGAATTGAGGGAAAAGGAGGAAGTTTAAAAACAATAAGAGAATATATATGGATTCAATGCAAACAAGATAAAGTGAAGGAAACACATTTTACCGAAAAGTTAAGATTCAAATTGTAAAGTTGTAATCTCTGTTTTGTTTGTCCGATCACAACTCAGGAAGAAACCCCTTGACCATTTACCTTAAATTTTGATTGGGGAACTTGGGAGACTTAAGGGAATATTCTTAGCTTGGTTTTGAGATTTTAAGTCGAGCGGGTTCACTTCTAACAGGGAAAATAGCTCAAAATAGAAATTAACGACAAGGGGCGGGTAAACGGTGGGACAAACTATGACTCCCCTGGGTAAGGTCGGGTTCCCAAGCTAGTTTATAATAAAACAAATTCTCCGGGAAACTAGGCATGAAAAAAGTTATTGCAGAGGATTAGATGTAATATTTTCTGGCTTAATCAGATCTGAATGATACCTGACCATCTCAAATTATAGATCTGATTGTTATGTTAACTAGCTTTACCATCCTTATTTTAATTTGTGCATATTTTAAAATTTGGTTACTGCGTCTAGCGCACGTAATTTATATTGTTTAACTTTATAATTTATGGAAAAATTTTAATTGCCATTTCAACCATTGTTAATTATAATTATTTTTTTTGTTTAAAGATCATCTTTACCAATGAGTATCTTGCTAATTTTTTAAAAGCTACTCGTAAAAACCTGCATTTATATAAATTTATGTAAAAATGGTGTACTCACATAAGATGGTACTCAACAAATGATTTGAATATTTATCATTGATATTTGGGAATATGTTTCAAACCATAACTTATGGTTTTTTTTATTAGTGTATGTAATGATGTAGTTTATCAATAACTTGCAAAGGAAACCATGAGTGAAAATTATATATAACAGTTAATAGATAATCAACAAAAGTGATGAAATGATGTAGTTTAAAAATGTATTTATGGAGCGATAACTTAATCAGAATATGTAATTGTTCAAAATTGAGCATATGAAATATCACAAATTTATATATTTTTATATAATAAATGCTGCTCATGTCTTATATTTAAGTGCCAGTCTCTGCATATATATTAAGATGCAATCATCAATCGTCCTTAAGTAGAAAAGAGTATACGCGGTGTGTAACAAATTACACTAATTGATATTTGAAACATAAAATCTAAAATATGTAAGGCTGTCAAGTTGACATAATCAGAAAATGTCAACTAGTAATATTTTAGTGTACTACAGTTTCTGGAGCTAGGCAGCACTCTTTTTTGTTTACATTTCTACCAGAAACTGTACTGCACTTAATTAGTTGAAATCTGAAATCCTTCAACAGAACTTGTATTATGAAAAACAAACTAATAAAGGTTGATAAATTACAAGATGCCATTCAGTTATATCTATTGTGACTTGAGAGTAAAATTCCCTTCTTTCTTAGTTGCCATTTTATTTTCTTGAAAACACTTGTTTGAAGTTTTATTTTCTTGAATACACTTGTTTGAAGTTTATTTTCTTGAATACACTTGTTTGAAGTTTTATTTTCTTGAATAAACTTGTTTGAAGTTTTATTTTCTTGAATACACTTGTTTGAAGTTTTATTTTCTTGAATACACTTGTTTGAAGTTTTATTTTCTTGAATACACTTGTTTGAAGTTTTGTTTTCTTGAATACACTTGTTTGAAGTTTTATTTTCTTGAATACGCTTGTTTGAAGTTTTATTTTCTTGAATACGCTTGTTTGAAGTTTTATTTTCTTGAATACACTTGTTTGAAGTTTTATTTTGGTATTCTATCTCTAAGATATGACAGGACAGCTCCGGTTCCTTGAACCAGAACAGCAGGACGCGGCATTCGGAACAGATTTCCCTAAACATGGATAGATGGATACAACACAATCAAATTAGAATGGACGGATATGACAAAAACAATTTTTGAAATAAGAAATAAAACGAAGGTTAATAAATCATTAAAAACTTTAGAAAATGTATTCAATACAAACAATTATATTCTTGATAAAGTGATTGTCTGGCTAGACATGATAGTTGAGCTGAGAATGTAGAGAACGTTTTTAGAAATCACATTAGACTATTGTACGGTTTATAATCAATAAGAAGGAGTGAAAATTCATTCATTAAATCCTCCTGGATTGTCCAACCCACCAGGCAGGCGTACAGAGCCAGCCTGACAGGTAGGAGTACCAGGTCTGGCGTGCTGCATTCTCAGCCTGACTAGCCAGACACTCCCTTTAATTTACAAATCTTTAACCTTGGACCAAATTAGGTAAGTTACTACTCATGGGAAGCAGGGTGCTGTTGTAAATCTTAAATGCCACTACTCATAAAGGAGCTAGTACAATGTACATTCCTTTGATATGTTCTACCTCTAGTTGTAAAGCTCTAAGCTGTGTAAGGTTTCCTAGTTCTGGTGGAACCGACTCTATTGCATTGTTCTGTAAATCAAGAACAGCAAGCTGACCCAGAGCTGACAGCGCCTCTACATCTAGCTGGGCTATCTAAAACAATTAACAATTTTATTACTTTAAAAATGATTGGTTTGTGAATGCTGTATTGCAACTTTTCTTTCATTATTATTTTTATGCGGTTAATATGTTTTATTTGAGGAAAAAACGTTTTGTCAATAATTAGAAAATCTTCCTGTGAATGCGGCGGGAAAACTTTATGGTTTGCTATAAGAATAGTCTCTAGTTTCTACATCTGCAGAGACTAGGAGGGATGCCTTATTATTTGCTATAAGAATAGTCTCTAGTTACCACACATGCAGAGACTAGGAGGGATACCTTATTGTTTGCTATAAGAATAGTCTCTTGTTTTCCACACCTGCAGAGACTAGGAGGAAAACCTTATTATTTGCTATAAGAATAGTTTCTAGTTTTCCACACCTGCAGAGACTAGGAGGGATACCTTATTGTTTGCTATAAGAATAGTCTCTAGTTTCTACATCTGCATAGACTAGGAGGGATACCTTATTGTTTGCTATAAGAATAGTCTCTAGTTTCTACATCTGCAGAGACTAGGAGGGATACCTTATTGTTTGCTATAAGAATAGTCTCTAGTTTTCCACATCTGCATAGACTAGGAGGGATACTTGATAACTGGTTAAATGATAGAACAATCTCCCGTAGATGTTTTAACTCTCCTTAATATAAAGAATTCAACAATTTGTATAATTTTATTGAATTTTATTGAATATAATTTATAATTTTATCCACAACTTGTTCAATGCTTTCAATATATAAATATGATAACTGCACACATGACATGGCAACCCAGAAAATGTCCATATTTTTTTTTCTCAGACCTTTTAATTTTCATGCAGTGCTTGAGATCCATTTTATTTTAATGCTAATCCACCAAAAAATGGATCCGGATACAGATCAATAACATTTACAGATTTACATACTTTTTGAACAAATGGAGAATTTTCAATTTTTCCTTCATTTTTCCGATTGTTTTTAAGCTAAACTTAATGAACCATTAAGAGATAAGGAACTAATAAAAAATCCTTTCTTAGCGCATTTTCTTTTAATGATTATTGATCGGTTACTGCCCTGTTGGATTTTGATATATTAAGATGTCGAATAGTTTTTATCAAAGGGTCAAAACATGACAGTCTACAACAAGTTATTTCTAGACATTCAAAATACAAAATCTGTTCTGAGTATGTTTACAGAAGTTGCCTTCCTTTATTAAATTGTTTTTCAAGAAATTTTTAATCAAAATCCTACCCATCTCCTCCGGCAGTTGTTGGAGCTTGTTGTTGCTGAGATCTAAAAACTGGAGTTTAGCTCCCACCTGGATCCAGGAAGGGACGGAGCTCAGCTTATTGGAGCTCAGGTTAAGCTCAAACAGTAATGGGAGGAGGTCTAACAGGCTCTAGGGAAAAAAGAGGGTCTTCACTTTCAGGTCGAAAATTTTTGCTACATACATTTCTATATTTTTACTTTAAAAGTGAGCTAAACAAACCTCAAATCGAGGTGGTAATGAATGATAAGTAAATTTTCATTTCAGTTCTCTTGAACTTTACGCAGAGAAAAAGATTAAAAAAATTTGAAGTATGATTTCGGAAATAGAAGTTTAAGGTTCTTAAGACTTAATTCCAAATGAACCTCTATTTGTATTCACAAGGGATCAAGTGTAAATTCAGGGGTGAACTTATTATTTTAATGTTATCTTTAACATATTATCAATCAGCGGGTCCAATGGTGCCGTTGTAAATCGGACATACCCATCTTTTTAAATGGCGGGAAACTTAAATTACAACGGAAGTTCCTTTAATCACCTCTGGAAATATTGATATTAGGTTTTTACTCGCATCTACTGCATTAACCTTCGCTTCTAGAGCATTTTCTACAGCTTCGCCAGGTATATCAGTCAGTCCTAGTAGTATTAAATAAGATAAAATAAATGTATTTTTGGAGGGTTCTTTTTTTCTAAGATGGGGATACGGAGGATTCAGGGATTAATGGTTGAGATGGAAGGATTTTGAGGGGTTAAGGATGAGAGGAAGGATTAGGGAGGATTGGGGGTTGGGTGGGAAGGATTTCAAAGGATTGAGTGAAAAGGGCTATGGTGGATTAAGGGATGAGTGGGGAGGACTACAGATGATTTATGGATGAGTGGGAAAGATTAGGGAGGATTGAGGGATGAGTCGGAAGGATTAGAGATGATAAAGAAATTATTAGGAAGGGTTAAGGGTTGGGTGGAAAGGATCAGGAAGGATTGAGAGATGAGTGGGAAGGATTAGGGAGAATTGAGATATGAGTGGGAAGGATTAGGGAGAATTGAGAGATGAATGGGAAAGATTAGGGAGGATTAAGAGATGAGTGGGTAGGATTACAGAGGATTAAAGAATGAGTGAATGGGATTAGGGATGATTAAGGGATGAGTGGGAAAGATTAGGGGGGATTGAGGCATGAGTTGGAAGGATTAGAAAGGATTTAAGGATGAGAGGGAAGGATTACAGATGATTTATGAATAGTGGGAAGGATTAGAGATGATACAGGGATGACTGGAAAGGACTAAGGAGGATTGAGTGATGAGTGTGAAGGATTAAAGGAGTATTAAGATATGAGTGGAAAAGATTAGGAAGGATTGAGGGTTGAGCGGGAATGGCCAGGGAGGATTCAGATAAGGAGGTGTATTAATATATTATAAGTTTAAAAACTTTGTAACAACTCAGGATCTATAAACATGAAAGAATTGTTTTTTTTTTATCAATATTTACAAATTGTTTTTCAGAATATCTGGCAGTTCTGACACTCATGATATGTATATATAATATGATAATCTTATGAGGAAAAAAATGTAATAATGGAAATTCTTAAACGAGATGAAATAATCTTGATGTATTCTTTAACGAAGGCCGCAGGCCTGAGTTAAAGAATACATCAAGATTATTTCATCGAGTTTAAGAATTATGCTCTAACCGTGTAATAATTTTCATTCTTACACGGTCTGAGCGTTAAAGAATGAAAATTCTACACCTTCAGTGTAAGAATAAGCATTCTTAAACGCAAGGAAGCGAACAATATTAAAATTGTTCCTCCTGAACCGTGTAATAATGGGAATTCTTACATGATAGCTTTACTACTATGGAACCGAATAGATATGATATAATATATAATACTTTATGTAATGGGGCAGGTTTAGTTTTATAATAATTTTTCGTCATTTTGGTGGGAAGGATTCACAAGGGAGTATATATACTATACAATACATAGTGTTGTTAATCGTTTTAGATATTTTTTTTTTTAATTAATGAAACTTAAAATATTTCAAAACTGTATAATGGTAAAGTTTGCTTTTATTAAGCTTGCGATAACTTTATCCTACAAAATGAGCCACCACTATGAGATTTTGATAAAAGACAACAAAAAAATCAACATGCTAGAAATCTAAATTTACCTTTTTTCGACAAATTGACGACTTGTGAAGATCTCATGGTAAACTTGTCTGGTATAGTTGGACTATCGGGGGGAACTGGAGATACATTTCCTACACAGGTGTTTATCTATATATAAATAAAATTGTAATCTGTTTGTTTCTTTGTCTGATCAAAACTCAGGAACCGCTGGACCGATTTGCCTGAAATTTCGATTGGGTAAATCGGGAGACCCACGGGAATGTTCTTAGCTTGGTTTTGAGATTTTAGGTTGAGTGGGTCACTTATAACGGGGAAAATAGCCAAAATAGAAATTAACGACAAGGGGCGGGTAAACGGTGGGATTAACTATGACTCCCCTGGGTCACGCTGGGTTCCCAAGCTTGTGCACAGTAAAAAATAAATCTTAAACACATTATTTAAATTTTTTAAGTGTCAACATTATCTTTTTTGCTATACAGTATACAATCTTCAGAGTACTCAGGATTATGGAAAATACAGTGCGCAATTAACTGTGACATAGAAGAACTGCTAGTAAATAGTCTTATCAAACCAATAACTAAGATAGTAACCATAGGATGGAATTTTCAATTAACTTTCAACTTGCAATTATTCATTTCCATAAAAACATTTCTGAGAAATTCTGATATGTCACAATGAAATTATGAATAAACACTCTCTACAGGTGACTAGTATTATTCACAGAAATCATGTCATTTGGATATATATATATACACTATACAGGGTTACCCACAAAGGATGAGACTTCAGAGACGACTGTACGGAAATTGTATTGTCTGTTTTCTTGTATCTATGGTTCCCAACAACTGTAAACTTGTTTCGCTAATTGTCAAATCATTAAATAACTATATATTTAAATATGTTCAGACTTATTCAACCTTGGAATTAACATATTTTAAAGTTTCAGGTCGTCTTTATAGTCTCAATGTTTGTGGGTAACCCTGTTATCTAAAGAAAAGATCAAGACCTGTTCCTGCTTTAGCCAACTCCGCTATCTGATCTTCTTCTAGTCTTGATCTCAGATACTTCAATAAACCAGCAGTTCCCCTGCGATCAATCAATCAATCAAACAAACATCTGGTACAAAAAAAAATCAATCAAAGCAAATAAATACTAAATCAACAACATCACAACTTTTATCTTAGATAACCATATTATTAATTAAAAGTCAACTGTCACTCTGTGGAAATTTAAACCAAGCGCTCAGTAAAAGACAGGACAGAAATTAATAAACTTGGGAGTTGAGCGACAAATTCTAAATGGTCTTCGTTAAGCGTTAAAATTGTATTATCTAATTTCTATGGTCAAAATACGTTACGTCTGCTAGATTATATTATATGTAAACGGTTGAAGATTGTTTTCTTATTCTGAAAAACGTTGTTTGATGTTCTGTAACATTTCTACAGGATAAACAGTTAAGAGGAAAAACTGTACTGTGTTTGTAACCAATCAATCGATCAATCAATCTATCTATCTATCTATCTATCTATTAATCAATGAATCAATTTGTGGTTTGATTTATATATATAAAATCCTAAGTCCTCACCTTGCAATAATATCCCGTCTAATTGCTTTCATAGGATTGCCCTCAACTTGTAATGTCTAAAACAACAATCTAATATTTGAAGGAGAAAGAAAATTTTCTTGATTTGGGAACTTTTCCTGTCGCATCTTTTTTTTACTACAAAGGTTATTAGGTTAAACTTTTTGTGTTCAGACGAGAAAAAATTTAGGTATTGTTATTATTGCGGTTATTTAATTATTTTTATTATTGCGGATTTTTAGTTATTTTTATTATTGCGGATTTATAGTTTTTAACATTATTGGGAATCTTTGAGAAATTACACCAAACTCTACAATATTTCTGCAACACCAAGCCATTTAAAATCACATGAAAGAAAATAATATATACCTTGAGATGAGGAAGAACTCCTAATGTAAAGGGTAACGTGGATAAATCATTGTTAGATACATCCAACCTCTCCAACAATTGTAAACCTGAGTAAGAATTAACTGACAGAAATTCCCAGAAAGTTCAACAAACCTATCACCAAAAAGTTCAAATGATCGTTTTTTAAATACAAACGATAAAAACAAACGAATTTTCTACCAAACTATTTTTTTTAAACTATCGTTTTTTTACTGAAATAACGATTATTTCGAACAAACTTATGGAAAAAATGTCCTTAATACACCGAACGCTTGATTTTACTGAACGATAGTTCAGTGAGAAAACAAAATAAATTAATGGAAAATGAACGCTATCTTTGAGAACAAACTATTTTTTGAGCAATAAAAAAAACTAACGAAATTTTCCGTACGAACGAACGAAATCAAAAACAAACGAACGCCCTCATCTCTATTCACAGTTAGTAACTTTGATTTTTAATTGCCATTCATTCTCTTTTATTTTACTCTTGGTTGACTTGGTGGTTGCGAAAACATTAACTTCATGTAACTTATTTTTGAAAATACTGTTATACATTTTCTCGAATGCCCTAATAAAATGGACTGTATCATTTATAGAGTGGCAAGTAAGATTTACAACAATACCCTTTAGACCTTTGCTTGATCAAGGATATGATAGATATTCTTATTTATATAGCGGGAAATTAAGTGCCAAGAAACCGCGCGAGTGTACACTAGCATGTAAAGCACAGTGTACACTGTAACCTCGAGTCTCCCTGCACTCAATCTTTAGCTATACAAATGAGGATATTTACCTCATCGTAGTCTTGACAAAGGTTTAATGGGTACCGTTGTGAATCGGACAAGCCTCTTTATAAATGGATGTCACTTGATTTTTCGCTTACAGTCCCTTTAAGTATTTAAAGTTTTGACCTGTGATTTGATCTGGTAATGTTTTGATCTTGTTGTCCCTGAGTTCCAAGGTTCTAATGTTTGGTATATTTTCTATATCCTCCAGGCTAACCTCACTGATCCTGTTACTACCCAACTGTAGTTCCTGGGATTAATATATTTATGTATATCTTACAGATTTTATGTTTAAAATCTGAGAAAACATAAATTAATAGCCGAAGTGCCCGGCGTTGCCTGTAGAATTTTAGAAACCTCACATGACCCCAGGGGGATGATCAAAATTTCAAATATTTGCCTCCAACAAAATTAGATATTTATTAGACTTTGCAAATCCACGATTTTTTTATTAAATCCAGGAACGTTTTTTGTTTTTGTTACCAAAGAGAAAATGTTCTCAATTGAAATAGAAGATGGGCGCATAGCCTAGTTATATAGATTTAATATCACTGGTCAAGCTATCTCTTCAACTCAAAGTTTAGATCTAAAGCTTATTCTTCCTTAGTTAAAAAGTTATGGACTATTTTAACAAAAATATGTTGTTAAAAATGTGCTCCTTTGATATCCTTGAAAATAGCGATAATTTTATATTAAATGCTATGCTTCTTCATGTCTATCTCCATTGATAAATATGTTTTATGGTACTAAAGCAGAGAGAAAAACTGAAAATCTAGGTTGGTTGCAGGTATTATTCTATTGCACTAAACAAAACGCATGAACTCTGCTTTTATTTTTTGTGAATATTTAAATAGTAATCTTATAGTTCAATTGTTAAAGAATATTAACCTTTAACTGGGTGCACAGTTTGAGGCAGGGTACTCTGGTTAACTGATTATGCCTCAAGTATACCAATTCTAAAATTTGAAGTTCAAGCAATTTATAAATATATTAGTTTGTTTACTATTAAACCTACCTAAGTGGTGAAGCAATATATAAATATATTAGTTTGTTTACTATTAAACCTACCTAAGTGGTGAAGCAATATATAAATATATTAATTTGTTTACTATTAAACCTACCTAAGTGGTGAAGCAATATATAAATATATAAGTTTGTTTACTATTAAACCTACCTAAGTGGTGAAGCAATATATAAATATATTAATTTGTTTACTATTAAACCTACCTAAGTGGTGAAGTTCCTGCATGTCCTTTGGAATACTCTTCAGCTGATTCGAGGTACAATCTTAAAGTTTAAAAAATTGTTTTTAATCTAGGTAAAATCCAAAAATTATATTAAATCTGAAATTACCTAGAGAAACCAGAGCTCTCATGAATGCTAGCTCTGAAGGTAAGGACTCTAAGTTGTTCTTGCTCAAGATAAGATGGGTCAACTGCACTAGAAATCCTGGACCAAGGGATCAACTATCAACTTTCAATCAAATCAAGAAAAGTTTTTTATCTGTAAATTTGACTGAAATATATCTTTGGATAAAAACTACAGAATACGTCACAAATATGACATTTTCTTATAGCTTTTCAGTAATCATCCAAGTTGACCCATTCCTATATTTGAAGGAAGGCTAGTTAAGTGATTGTTGGAAAGGTCAAGATGATTTAACATGCTCAAATCGCTAAAAATAAAAATAGTATTATATAATTATTTTATAATATTTTAGTGTTTGTGGTGCCATTTAGAAATCAAAAAAAAACTTACCCTAAAAGTAAAATACATTACATTAGTTCTTATCATAATATTTAAAGAATAATTGTAAAAAAACCATTTTAATTAAAACACAATTATCAGACAGGTACCTAATATATAACTAAGAGCTATTTGATTAAGTTTAATGAAAACAAAAATTTCATATTTGAGAGTAGTTCGGGATTCTTGTGGTTTAAATTTTTAAATTCAAATCTTAAAAATTGTTAGAACCAAATATACAATAGTGGTTTAAGAGCAATATTTTTTTTTTTTAAGGCTTATCTTTATTTGTTAGAACTTAACCAATTTCTTTATTACACAAAAATTAATTTTATAATTTTATACAATTTGAAACTATGAAAATTTCCATTTAAAGAGAGTGTTCGCGAAAAATTAAAGGGGGTATAGGCTAAAGTCGAATCGAATTCGCTGGTGATCACTACAGAATTGCAATATTCCACTCAGATTAAAATTTTCATTTTTCGCGAACACTCCCTTTAATGCCCTCCTACCTAATCCAATCTTCTAGTTTCTCTAAATGGTTATTATTGAGCTGAAGATTACGTAATTCTCTGAGCTCGGAAAATCCCTCCGGTAAATTCTTGAGTCGGTTGTGACTCAAGTTCAACTTCCTAGCTCAGAATCTGATAATCCATGGATTCAAGAAGATGTTTGAAGGATTAGGTCACATTTTAGAAGTGAATTTAGGGATGTCCAGTATATTATTCATTCTTTAGCTACAATAGAAGGGGATTTATCCAACCTTAGCAGCAAATATAAAAATAGAAATAAAAGGAAAGGAAAGGATAAGGAAAGTTATATATTTATTGTTTTCACTATATTTAATATAAATTGGGGGATGGATCTTTAGTATTTTTCGACGATGAACTAACAACTTTTAGAAATAAAAATTATAGATTTATTTGCAATGCTTAAAAAAGTAAAAATAGAACCACCCCAAAGAACGATCATGGGAAAAAATATATATTTTTCTGTCATTTTAATGTTATCTATGGTTTCTATTGCTTTAGTAGTGTATCAATGAAGATTTTTTTTTAATATTTTGTGCAAATTTAATTTTGGTTATTAGATGGTCGTGAATTTTACAAAATCCCCCCCCCCTGCCCTAAAAATATGTTTAACATTGGGGAAGGGAAATTTATAAAAGAAATATATATAGAGAAAATTCTGATTCCTAAGATTGGTAAGAGCCGACATTTGTGTGGGGAGATCAGATAGTTGGTTGTCATGTAAATCCAGTATAGTCAAGGATACAAGATTAGAGATCTAGTTTAATAATATTCAATCTAGTATAGTCAAGGATATAAGATTAGGGATCTAGTTTAATAATATTTAATCTAGTTTAGTCAAGGATACAAGATTAGAGATCTAGTTTATTAATATTCAATCTAGTTTAGTCAAGGATACAAGATTAGAGATCTAGTTTAATAATATTTAATCTAGTTTAGTCAAGGATATAAGATTAATCCCTAATATATTGAATGTAGTATATTATGTCCAGATATAAAAGCATTAAATATATTCCTGAGATGATATTGAAGATATCTTGTTACAAGCCAGAATAAGTTTAGTCAGCTCAACATGGTCCCACCAGTTCTCCTAAATATATATCTATATATACATATATATAAGGATAAGAATAATTATAAGATCTGAAAGGGAACCCGACATGGATATATCTTCTTAAAATAAGTCTAGAACATATTCTATTGTTTATTAAGATTGGTTATGGCTGGACACTGTGTTTCATGTTTGACATTAATCAGCAGCGGCAGTTTAAAGAGTATATATATACTAGTACCCTAGTACACTAGTATCCTAGTACACTAGTACACTAGTACACTAGTACACTAGTACTCTAGTACCCTAGTACCCTAGTACCCTAGTATCCTAGTATCCTAGTACCCTAGTACCCTAGTACCCTAATACCCTAGTATCCTAATACCCTAGTACACTGGTACACTGGTATCCTAGTATCCCAGTATCCCAGTATCCCAGTATCCCAGTATCCTAGTATCCCAGTATCCCAGTATCCCAGTATCCCAGTATCCCAGTAGCCTAGTAGCCTAGTATCCCAGTATCCTAGTATCAAAATATCCTAGTATCCCAGTATCCTAGTATCCCAGTATCCTAGTATCCCAGTGTCCTAGTATCCCAGTATCCTAGTATCCCAGTATCCTAGTATCCCAGTATCCTTGTATCCCAGTATCCTAGTATCCCAGTATCCTAGTATCCCAGTATCCTAGTATCCCAGTGTCCTAGTATCCCAGTATCCTAGTATCCCAGTATCCTAGTATCTCAGTATCCTAGTATCCTAGTATTCAGTATACTAGAGCCTAGCTAATAACTAGTATCAAAATATCACAGTATCCTAGTATCCTAGTTTCCTAGTATCCTAGTATCCCAGTATCCTAGTATCCCAGTACCTAGTATCCCAGTATCCTAGTATCCCAGTATCCTAGTATTCAGTATACTAGAGCCTAGCTGAGAACTAGTATCAAAATATCCCAGTATCCTAGTATTCAGTATACTAGAGCCTAGCTGAGAACTAGTATCAAAATATCGCAGTATCCTAGTATCCTAGTATCCTTGTTTCCTAGTATCCTACCTGGGAACTAGTTTCCAAGGAAACCCCCTTCCTCAAGGTTTCTTCTTCCTCCTTCGTAAGTTCCATTAACGTCCAAACCTAGAACCAAACATAAAACTTCTTCTTTCTGAAACTTAGCCTAAACATTATTCAAAATGTTCATAGTTACTTTTTTACAGATACAATAAAAAAGGAATTGTAAGTTCAATTTACTATTTTAGATTATAACACACTGACATACAGTAATGTATAAGTTTTTATCCTTAAAATAAATTAGTTCTTCTTCAAAATAATCTAGCTCTAGAAAATGATTATCCTAAAGTAAGTTCATGAATTATTGATGAATAATTTTGTCTGGTCTCCTTGTCAGGTACACAAACTAGGCCTCGGTTGGACAGATTTAGTTGACCGGAACTACGCGCTTGCTTTACCAGCTGGGGGTGCAGGTCATCACCTTCCTAAAAATTCAATATAGTTAGGAACCTATCCTTCCTAAATATTGAATATAATTAGGAACCTATCCTTCTAAATATTTAATAAAATTAGGAACCTGCCCTTCCTAAATATTTAATATAATTAGGAACCATTCCTTCCTAAATATTTAATATAATTAGGAACCTATTCTTTCTAAATATTCAATATAATTAGAAACCTATCCTTCCTGAAAATTGAATATAAATAGGAACCTATCCTTCCTAAATATAAAATATAATTAGGAACCTATCCTTCTTAAATATTGAATATAAATAGGATCTATCCTTCTTAAATATTCAATATAATTAGGAACCTATCCTTCCTAAATATTTAATATAATTAGGAACCTATCCTTCTTAAATATTGAATATAATTCGGAATCTGTCCTTCCTAAATATTCAATATAATTAGGATCTATCCTTCTTAAATATTAAAAATAATTAGGAACCTATCCTTCCTAAATATTTTATATAATTAGAATCTATCCTTCTTAAATATTCAATATAATTAGGAACCTATCCTTCCCAATTATTCAATATAATTAGGAACCTATCCTTCCTAAATATTTTATATAATTAGAATCTATCCTTCTTAAATAATCAATATAATTAGGAACCTATCCTCCCTAGTTCCTAAATATTCATTAAAAGGAAAAGAATTATTTAATAGTTAGTATCGATAGTTCAAGGAATAGAAATTTTCAAAATGTAGTCTGGAATACTAGTCCATAAAAATCTGGAGGAAATATTAAGAAATTAGTCAACATTTTAACTTAATTAAAGGGACTGTAAAAACGTAATTTCAAGCGAGACTTCATTTTTTAGAGTCGCTTGTCCGATGTACAATGGTACCCTAAGAACTTTACTCTGATCAAGAATACATGCTTGAGATAATCCTTATCTTCTTTCTGAAAAATCTATTGTTCTCAATTGTGGTTTTTTTAAGAGCATTTCCGCTTTTTTAAAAAAATTGCCAGATATAGTCAGTTTTTAAGCTCTAATGCGACGACATATTCCACATAATAGATTATATATAGGTTTGTAAGGAATCATATGACAGGTCACTTGAAGTTAAATGAATTAAAGGTGTCCAAGTATACTTTTGCTCAGGCTACTCCAGACTAACAAAACGCACAAGCGTTTTTAATTAAACTTCAAATAAGTTTTTAACTTTCGGAAATCAAACACGATCTGTATATCGTCTTTAAATCCCGCGTATATTGAAACCCTCTGTAACTCTACCTGTAGATTAAAAACTGAGTCTGGGTACATACCAAACCCTTGACCTGGAGCTCTCCGAAGTGGTCTTTGCGTCATTTTCTTCTGAAAACATCCGTCTAACTAATGAATCCTTTATTGCTTTAAATTTCAATACAATACATCTATGAAATCAGATTTTATCATTTGGACTAACTTGAACTCCTTGAACCTCATGCAAATACCAGTGCAGACCTCGAGCAGATCAATTATTTTTTACCAAGATTTAGTGAGATAAATCTAGGATAATTTCTCAGTGGTACTTCCTCCATTTTTGTAAGTATGGAAATTTAAAAAAATACATAAGCTTGGGTTCTATTATGACGTGTAGGAACGTCGGGAAATTTACGTCATTCAGAAAACAAAAAATTCAAAATTAATCGGATCCTTCACGTACCTGCCCCTGCCCCCGCCCCCTGTCCACTTCCCCATACAAAAACACATTTCTGAACATACTGACCCATATTTTTAAAGACATTTCTCATATCAGACTGTAAACGTAATTTTAGGTTTATAAAAACCAACCAAATGGATTCCTTATTCATACTTGATCAGACAAAGGTGTCAAAGGTACTGTTGTGAATACCTTATTCATACTTGATCAGACAAAGGTGTCAAAGGTACTGTTGTGAATAGGACATGCCACTCTATGTTTAATGTATTTGAAAATTTGCTGATTTTACTGAACGTTAAGTGAAAATATCAAACTATGAAGGCTCTCTAGTTCTACCGAAAAATGTTGAGTAAATAAAATAGTGCAGAAAATATTTTTGTGCGTTTATTACTAGGTTATGTACTACTGGTGTTATGTACAGATATAACAAGTGTACTGCTGTACTGCAGTTTAATGTAAGAGGTTACAAAAATATATTATTTCAAGATGGAATGGATAAGTGGGTTGAAAAGCAAATATAAAAATACAATGTTTTAACGCCGTGAAAAAAAGATATGTCTTAATTTGTTGATATGAAAATCATCATATTAAACCCCATAAAATGTAAAAAATACATAAATAAATATCATAGAATAAATACTTAACATGTGTATAATATGGAATGTAATAACTGGTTTTAGGAATACTAATAAGATAACAGAAATAACGATGATTAACTGAAGGTGGTGTAATGATGATGATGATAACAATTAAGGCTCCCAAGTTTTAAGCAGGACTGATTTAAGGGAGGGGGGTGTTAATATCTTAACAATTTTAAATTTAATTATTTAATTTTCAGCCTCTGGTAATGATAAAAATTAGGTATTAAAACAGTTGAAAATTTGATACTTTTATTTTTTGTTAAAGTGGAAATCAAATCAAACTCTCCTGAAAGCGGTCCATGATAAATTCTCAAGAATTTCACTTCCAGTCTTGAGGTTTTAATTAAAGAGAAGTGAAAAGTAGTTAAACTAGATGAGGATGGTTCAACTAGATGAGGATGGTTCAACTAGATGAGGATGGTTCAACTAGATGAGGATGGTTCAACTTGATGAGGATGGTTCAACTAGATGAGGATGGTACAAATAAATGAGGATGGTTCAACTACTTTTCACTTTATTTCGACCTCTGCCTATCCCTATGAACTACAGGGTTTCCCATAAAAGATGAGACTGTAAAGACGACCCATAAACTTTTAAAAATATGACGACCCCCGGGTTAAATTAAATATTCTGCCTTTATATAGTCCTTCAAAAGCATAATAAATGATTTAGCAAAGAAAGAAACTAGTTTACAGTTACAGGGAATCAAAAATAAATATAAAGAAAGAGGCAGTATAATTTCCGTGAAGTGGTCTCTGATGTAGATAATCCTGTATATCTAGAAGTGCGTGATTACTAAACAAATATATGTGATGGTGAGTCCGTATTCTTGTTCTCGTGTTCTTCGTATCTTTCTATTCTCACAACAGAAGCTCGCCTAATTATATTTTCTTTATGATAATTTCGAAAAATGTACGGCCGCAGAATTTCATCAAGTTATTTCAAATAAATACATCAAATTTCAAGGGACTGTAAGCGTAATTTCAAGTGATCTTCCATTTGAAGAATGGCATGTCCGATTTACAACGATATCCTTTAAACTTTTGTTTAATTAAGGATTTCGTAGATATTCTCATTTATATAGCAGGAAATTAAGTGCCAAGAAACCGTTCAAACGTGTACAGTGTACACTAGCACGGAGTGTACGTAGTTGTACACTGTAACCTCGAGTCTCCTTGCACTCGGGTATGCAATGGGGGCATCTACCTCATCGTTGTCTGGATTACACTTATAGTCCCTTTAAGAAAATATTTTAACACTTCAGAAATTGTCTTACAAATTATTAACTATGGCTAATTCTCTAATTAAAAATAATTTTAATTTTAATTGTTTTTCTAATCCTTCTGTAATGATTTATTGCAAATGTTTGTTTGAACATTTCTTTCGGTAAAATGTAAGGTGTTCACTAGAAAACGTGGAAACCCATTTATGGAGAAATTTCCGTGAATGGAGAAAAGAATAAATGAAAATCTTGTTTACACTATTATCTTGTAAACATAAACTCTCAATAGTTAAATTAAGAATGTTAATTGTAAAATCCAGTTTGTTGCCAAAGAAAAATAAGAAATAATTCAGAAAAAAAATTAAAAAGATATGAACAAAAATTTTCACTTATATTGGAAAATACTTGCTGGATTCAATTAATAAAATTCTATTCAGTGTCGTGTTTCTTCTGTTGTAAAATATTTTGTTTACCTCTACTTTAACCCCCCCCCCCTGTCCACTTTATAGCACATTAAATCTAATTATCATGAGTTTATATGTCTCTAAAAGAAGGCTAAACAATAAATGTCCCAGATTTACCTTATTCCTGAACCATTGTCGAGTACAGACATATGAATCTGTGAACTAGGGGACATCTCATCTAAAAATTTAATTCAGGTATAAATTATCATGAAGGTATTTGTAAACGTAATTTAATATGAGTGCCATACACGATTCAAATATGCACCGTTGAAATAATAAACATTAGACTCATTCTGACAAATCTGTGCCTTATTCTCGCTTGTCTGTGCTGTAAAAACTCACAAATCGTTCAAACACATAATTTTCAAACACCTTCATCATTTTATGCAATTACTAATAAGGCAATGTCCGATTTATAACATTACCATTGAAAACTTTGTCTGATCAAGTATTAATTAGAATCAATGTTTTGAAAACTGATTATTTGCAACTGTGGTTTCTTCACATAAGTGAACTACGCATTTCTACAGCAGGAAAACATAAATCAATTGTCAGAATTAAACACTTTTAAACCTAGAAAAACTACAATAGCTTCTACATTATTGATCATATAAAGGTTTCAAGGGTACCGTTGTGAACCAAACATTTTATCTTTTCATAAAATGAAACTTTAAACACGCTTACAGTTTAAATCAAATCAAATCAAATCATATTGTACATGTATTGCTTTAGTTTAATAAAAAACTGAAGAAAATCTGAATGATCATTTGCTTACCAATATCCTCGTCAATATAATTTATTTCTTCGTTGCTCGCGCTCTCATGTTTAGTCGCAATACTCTCGTTCACTCCTATTCATATCAAATCATGTAATAAATACATGAAATTAAAACTCAGTCAATATAAAAAATAAACAAAAAATAAATAATAGAGGTAAACTTATTTTTGAATATTTGAAAATTCTTGTCATGACTTCAAGTCTTAGACCTCATACGGTTTATCAGTAAAAGGCAATTTATAATTAAACCTTTTTTGAATATTGCAAAAAATTTCAAATTCTTTCTGTGTTAAAATTAGGTTTAAAGATTTTGCTCTAGTTTACTCGCATATTAATTTTGCATCTTTATTTTTGAATAACAATTCTTTATTCACCAAAAAATATTTTTTTACTAAAATAGTTTGAAACCAATCATATGATTTGACATAATTATTGAACTCACATTTGCAACTTCGTTTTTTCTCTTTCTTTTCAAGGAAAAATTATTTAATAAACGACAATGTTAAAGCTAATCCAACAATTTTATAACAATTAAAAATCTAATAAACATTTAACCTGTGGTCTCAATATCATTCTCTACATCCATACGGTCATTAGAACTCCCCGCCTCGGCGGCTAAATCGTCCCGGGATAGATAGCGATTCCCTGGTGTCTGATCCCGCCGATGTGTTCCCGGATTTCTATTTCGCACAGCAGTTCGGCGATTCTCGACATGAAGGTCTTGAGGATTGACCGGCGGGATAGTTTCATATCCTTCCTCACTTCCGGTCGATAACTTCCACACGTGACCAGTAGCATGAGAACCGTTGCTCACTCTTGTTTTCGCTCCTTCACATTTTACACAATCATTTTAGAAATTCTTTTTTTTATCAAATCAACGATTCACTGTAAATGCTCTTCGATTCTATGCTTGATTAAAAATTAACAGCTTTTTTCTTGGAAATTGTTGTAGGATTGAAAATTATTGGATAAAGATTCAACCCGGAGTATATTTTCTTATAAACATTTCCCCCACCCCGTTTCAGAAAATCATTTCCCCCCCCTGAAGTTATTTATGTTTTTTAAGGGATGTTAAACTGAAAGTATCAAAAAACTAAAAAAAAATTGCTTTTTGAGGTCACATTTTTCAGTTTTTTGCCCCCCCCCCCCCTTCCCAAATCATCAAAAATCATTTCCCCTGATTCTGAAAAATTTCTGAGAAATATACTCCCCTGGATTTAATTGGCCCAAATGTGAATCGGGGATGGTACTCTCTTTTATCTAATAAAACTAACCTAGAGTTACTTCAGGAAGGTTTGGCCTATGATCCTGTTTAGGTGATAATTCAGGCGTTTTGAGTCCAGGTGCTGCTCGTGGTTTAAAGGTCAGGTGACCCTCTTCAGGTCTTTGAATAACGGTTGGAAGGCTTGTGCGTTGAGATCTGTCAGGAACTGTCTCATAACCAGGCTCAGTTGGACCTAAGCCAGGAGGATTCAATCATTTCTATAATTTCTTTGCCCCACCATTCATCCCCAACGCAACAAAAAAAATATTGGCTAAAAGTGCTTGTTGAAGGCTGATTGATTGATTGATTGACAAGAATACCTTGATTGACACTTTCGTAGTCCGGATCCCGAGTTCTTAGATCTGACACAGTCTCATAACCAGGCTCCCTACATAGTTATATATTTTTGTTTTTGTTAATACTATACATTCCAAAGAAAGTACTGCCACAGAATTTCTTCTGGAGAGTTTGGGCTTAGGACTACTAACCCTTGTTCCCGATTGTTCTGTAGATCTAAATATCCAAAGTCAGTGACAAAAACCCAGCATATCACATTTAAACCTTTCCTTTAGTATTTGTCCCATCAAACCTGTATTCCCTGTATCGGTATCCTACCATACTCCCTGTATCTGTATCCTACCTACATTTTCTGTAACTGTTTCCTACTTGTATTTCCTGTATCTGTATCTAATCTGTATTCTACCTTTACTACCTGTATCTGTACCCACCTTTACTCCCTGTATCTGTATCTTACCTGTAGTCCCTAAATCTGTATCCTACCTGTTTTTCCTGTATATGTATCCTACCTTTATTCCCTATATATGTATCATACCTGAATCTGTATCCTACCTGTATTCCCTGTATCTGTATTCTGGGTAGCTCCTAGGCCCTGTATTCTCCTCTACACGTTTAGACAAGGTTTCGTATCCAGGATCAAATGAGTCTGATCTAAATCTGAACAAAAGTATGTTATATATGTAGAATGTAGAATCTACCATTTTTGGACAGAAAGTTGATTAATTATTTTCCAGCAGGTAATACTTAAATATAGAGCTTACACAATGAATTTTGTTTATAAATATTGAGGCGAAACATAAATCTACCTTCCTCCCTCTAGCAAATAATTCTTAGAAAGTTCAGCATTCTACAAACCTGGGTGGTAAGGTTTCATATCCGGGTTCCCGAGATAGAACACCGGACGTTAGAGTCTCATATTCCGGGTCTCGTCGATCTAATTCTTTCTTCTCACCCGGGAGCACTTCATAGCCCGGATCCCGAAAGTATGAGGTATCCGGATAATCCTCCGAGCTTTCATTAGGGTAAGCGGAGGTCCGGGTGAACCGATCCGGATGCTGAAGAGCGTATGGCACTGTTTCATATCCAGGATCCACTTTTCTTTTGTCCATCCCGGATCTAATTTTAAAAAACTTTTAGTTTGAGGTAGATTTAGTTTTATTACAGTCAAAATCAGAAAGACTCGAAATTAATTGAAAGATTTACATTTATATCTCTGGCAATTTCAAATGCTCAAAAAATGCAAACCACATTTTTGAAATGGCAGGACTAGGGCTATTTTGTAATAAATGAATGATATTTGAAAAATTAGATTGTCAAGTCTTCTGATTGATTGTAAATTTATTCCGGGGCTTTCTGATTAGGACTGCATATAGATTAAAGCAACGCTCAGGATCTATTTTATTTTGATAAGGATCCTATAAATGTGGATCCTGGATCCCCTATGAACATTCGTACTTGGTAGCGTTTTTTTATTTGGTTTTTATATAAAAAGGTGAAGGGAGGATGATGGCGGGGGGAATTAGATATATTTTATATCGTTACATTAAAACATAAATAAATGATATTAAATATTAGACCCCTTAACTACTTCTTTTTGTCCGGTCATCTTCATAATCTATGATAGATAACAATACTAATAATATTAATAGAAGATCTGAAACCCCGACATGGAACCCCCCAGACAGTCATCAAGGTGCAACACATCATCACACATCCTGAAATCCATCCGAACTAACTCACAATATTTAACACCCGTGCATTTTTGTTACCCTCCTGATGGCTGGCATTAGATACTAACCTTGGATTCCAGTTATCCACCCTTGACACTTCATACCCAGAATAATCTACATCTTCTCCAGTCCTATCAGTTAATAACTTGATAATCAGTCAATCACTTCATAATCAATTAATAACTTAAAAATCAGTCAATCACTTGATAATCAATCAATCACTTGATAATCAACCAATCACTTGATAATCAATCAATAACTTGATAATCAATCAATTAAGCAATTAATTAATCAATCAATCAATATTTAGCTACAATCATGCTTGTATACCAAGGGCAAGTAGACGGTGAAAATGGCTGACTAGTGACTATCGATAATAATATTAACTTTGGAATCACCAGGCACTCAAGCAAGTTAATAAATAAAAGAAAATCCATTATTTGGTGGAAATTATCCAGTCATGTAACAAAATGTATCCCTCAATACATAAACAAGATCACTATCAGCTGTTATATCTACTATTTACCTGGAATCAGAGGAGAATGGAAGCGCTGAATATCGTTGTTTAGGTCGAGCACCAAAATTATCGTCACTAAATAATAATCAATTAACAAAAAAGCAATTTATCACATTTCTGTGTATTCAGAATATAAGTGTTAACATTTATTAATCAAATATTCATGATTTGGGTTTATTTACAGTATAGTTTAGGAAAAGTAGTTTAATGCAGAAATGTTGTGGTTTTTTTTTACTTTTTCTGAGAAAAAATGGGATCTGCCAATTTTCAATAAAAGATGGAACAATTTTTATGCAATTTTAGGCTTGTCTTTTAGTAGCTGTGAAGTTTCTATGGCAATTCTATATTAAAGAATAATTAATAAAAATGTTAGACTTACCTTTGTCTAGATTTGTTAACGGTTGCATATCCTCCGTTATATGAGGCGGCAGTTCTCTCATTTCTAAAGGAAAATATATTAAATACATTTGAGAAAATTAATAAATATTTGTTTCGCAACTCCTGTTGCGAGGAAGACCAGTTTATCATCCCTATACAAAACCTTCTTTACCCCTGGATTCGGTGTTTGTCGCAAGTACAAAGAAGATTCGAGAAACTTATATTTTCTAGATTGTATAGTATAACCGGTTTTGAATCTGTACTGCGTCGGCCCCAATAGTCAGTATTGTTAAACTTTTCGTAGTTGATGGAAGATATATATGATCGCTACGATTATTTATTTACTGTGAAGAGTTCTGGGGACCAATGTGATTTAACTGCGTAATAAAACTAGAAGACTGTTCCTGTCTTTTATTATGGAGAGATCTTTTAGCAGAGTAGCTTCCGGTCAGATCCGAAAGGGCAACTGGGTAGTTGCGAAACAGTATTTTTAGATATTTCTTTAGAATTTCTGTCTCTTGCAGAGTCTGTATGTAGACGAAATTTCAAGTGACAACAACTAATTTTAAGAATTTCAAGTTGAACCAAAAATTTAGAATAATTGGTTTGTAAATGTTTCACCTTTTTTTCTTTTTATCTATCTTAGAATACATCATACTGAGGTCTTCCCGTGCACCATTCAACTTAGGTCTGACATGTATGAAATATTAAAAAGTTTAAAAGTATCAAACATTTTAAAGGAAAAACAGAAAATGGTTAAGAAAAAGGATTTCAGTGTAGAATTTATCATTAATTACAAGACAAATCCAGTAGTTTGAAAGGTTTATTGAGACGTAGGACTTTGATCAGTGAGAAAAGAAATGATAAATTTTATCTCCATAATTCGTGTTCATTTCTTATTATTAAAATTATTATTACCCCTGAGCTGGTCCTTCAGGATCCATGTAAACATTATCTTCTATTGCCGCGTACATTTCATCACTTGTCTCAGACAGTGTTACATAGTTTCCTTCCTGTAATATACTTCATAAAACAGTGTTACATAGTTTCATTTCTATACATAAACTTAATGAAACTGTGTTACAAAGTTTCCTTCCTGTAGTATACTTCATGACACAGTGTTACATAGTTTCCTTCGTGTACATAAACTTAATAAAACTGTGTTATAAAGTTTCCTTCCTGTAATATACTTCCTGAAACAGTGTTACATAGTTTCCTTTGTGTACATATACTTTATGAAACTTTGTTACAAAGTTTCCTTCCTTTATTATACTTCATGTAACAGTGTTACATAGTTTCGTTCCTGTAATATACTTCCTGAAACAGTGTTACAAAGTTTCCTTCTTGTAATATACTTCAAGAAACAGTGTTACAAAGTTTCCTTCCTGTACATAAACTTAATGAAACTGTGTTACAAAGTTTCCTTCCTGTACATATACTTCATGAAACTGTGTTACATAGTTTCCTTCGTGTACATATACTTCAAGAAACTGTGTTACATGGTTTCCTTCCTGTAATATACTTCATGAAACAGTGTTAAATAGTTTCCTTCCTGTACATATACTTCATGAAACTGTGTTACATAGTTTCCTTCGTGTACATATACTTCAAGAAACTGTGTTACATGGTTTCCTTCCTGTAATATACTTCATGAAACAGTGTTAAATAGTTTCCTTCCCGCAATATACTTCAAGAAACTGTGTTACATGGTTTCCTTCCTGTAATATACTTCATGAAACAGTGTTACATAGTTTCCTTACTATAATATACTTCATAAAACTGTGTTACAAAGTTTCCTTCCTGCAATATACTTTAAGAAACTGTGTTATATAGTTTCCTTCCTGTACATAAACTTAATGAAACTGTGTTACGAAGCTTCCTTCCTGTACATAAACTTCGTGAAAAAGTGAAGTGTGTGTCTATATATTGTGCTTCATAAGGGTGCGATAGCAGATATTTACCTGTATTGTGGGTTGAGAGGGTGGGACAGCAGATCTAAGGTTTTCTAAAGGTTCTCTCACTGATATACTCGTATATCCTTTTGTTGAGTATGTCGAGTCCTTAAAACAAAACAAAACCTTTCAAGCTTTACTATTTATTCGAAATAAGATCCACTGAAAACTGATGATGATTCATGATGATGATTCATGATGATGATTCAT